CTGATAGTGGTCATTTGAGCATATAGTAAGAGGAAGGAAATAGAGGCTCTCAGCACCTCTTGGTATTCTGTACTACTTCAGCTACCCTAGTCTCTGCTTATGTTCTGTCCATTAGATCTCTGATGTGTTCTAGCAGTGCAAGATATTGGAGTTCTTCACTGATGCTTAACTAGCAGGTGTCTGCTATCTGCTGCTCTTTGAGCCACTGGTAGTGTCCAGGCAGATTCTTCTGCCACATGAGTTCACCAGTTGAGGATATATTTATATCTTCTATCCAGCTCATATGGATCCACTGTTTCTGATTTGGCAGACTGAGGCTTGCTCTCTCTGAGGCTGTATACATCAACTCTGAGAATGACCTGACCAATGTCCTGCTCTTGAATCAAGAGGTTTTGAGTGGGCTGGCCATGTCTCTGATTGGGGGTCAGCTTGTATGGCTGTCATCTCCTCATACTGACTCTTCTCTATCAGAGATAGCCAGTCAGATGATGAGAGGGGAAATTCAAATTCTTCTCTTTCACTTTGTACACTTTCAGGTCCTGGAGATCAGACAATGTAATTTGTGCTGCTGGTATTTGGGGGTTCTGGAGCTGATGGCCAGATGATGATGCTCTCCTGACTCAGGAGTGTCTGGAATGCTAATTAGAGGACTCAACAAAGAAAATCCACTCTTTGCCAGTTCTGCCACTCTTTCAATTCTCTTCTTCTTCTTCATTCTCTTAGTAACTATATGACATAACATCTAATAATTTCTGTTACTGCAATGAACAGGCAAGCACCTGCAATAGAGGTGGTGACAATGTTTCTGAGCATGAATTTTATATGCTAGTCTTAAGCAAAGTGCCATCAGACTAGGACATATGAAGTCTTGAGCTAATTGTTAGACTTCCACTAACACTCACAAATCTCTAGCACTGCTTCCATCAGAGTCTGATTCTAGATGCTGAGTCTGAGTCTGATTTTGATATAGAAGTATGATGAGATAAGCTATAAGGATTTTATGGAGAGGGATGGAGAGTTGTAGCTGATAGATATAGTCTGTCATTGTGGCAAGAGTATTCACACCAGGTAGTCAGAGAGCATAGTAGGTGTATTAAACCTTAGCTCAAGACTGGGGTACATCAGTGTGTACTACTGCCTTATATACTGTCTAAAGAACTCTATATCCTACAGGTGACTATTGTCTGCTTTTCATGCTCTCTGCTTATTGTCTGAGATACCAATGACTGTGCCCTTGCTTTTGTTTGTTATTGTTACTCTGCTATACCATCACTATAGTGAGTTTCCCATATGCCACAGTTTCCATTGTGTTCAAGATGTGGAATGGTGATAGTTATCATATTGTTCTTTGTCACCTTATTGTGCATTGATGAATAAGGTGTAGCCATGGTGTCATCATGTCTTCATCACCAAGCATTGGCAGGTCATGATTTAGGGGCAAAAATCATGACATAGTATATAAACCATATACCATCATTGTAATTACTCAGTTCAAACATCAACTTGGATAGCCACCTACACTTTGTGCTCACTTCAGCTCCTCTCTATCTTGTCCATTGGATTCCACTCTGAAGAATATCTCTCTTCACTTCTCTGATGGAATGCCATTCTGTCAATTCAAATCCTTGAGCCTCAACTCAAGAGTGACATTGCTAATAGCTTCATTGATGCTCACACACTCTGCTGGTCTCTATGCATGCACTTAAGCCCAATCAATTGGCACATTCTTAATGCCATGTTTTATAAGCAAGAGGATCAAAATTTGACTGTCATTGCTGTCCATGTTGATGACTGCACTATTGCATCATCATCATTATGTCTGATGCAAGAGATAAAGAAAGGAATAGCAAAATATATGAAAGTCATAGATTTGAGAGAGCTGCACTGGATTCTTAGCATCAAGATCACTTGTGACCATGAGTCATACTCCATTTCTCTCTCACAATGCTCATACATTGATGTCATCATTCATCACTATGGCTCTGGAGATCTCTCCACACTAATGGACATTAATCTCTGCTTGTCTTCTTTTTCTGCATCAGTCTCTACTCAAGAAATTGCAGCTATGAGAGACATCCCTTACAGAGAGTCTGTTGATTCTTTAATCTGAGTTATGCTCAGGATATGCTCTGACATTGCATTTGCAATGACAATGGTCTCAAAATACTTAATAGCTGCTGCAGATGCTCATTAGAGAGCTGTAAAGCATATCTTTCACTATCTGAAGTGCATAAGAGATTACTGGTTGACATTTGGGGAAAACAGAAGGGTTTTGTGGGAATATGTGAATGCAGATAGGAGCATGGCTGAAGACAGGCATGCTATTACTGGGTATGTTTTTATGCTGAGTGATGGAGCCATTTCATGATTGTCTAAAAAGCAGAAGATCATATTGCTTTCAACCATGGAGTCTGAATATGTGGCTGCAATGCATGCATCAAAGGAGGAACTCTGGCTTTGCAGTCTGCTCTCTCAAGTTTTCTCACCAATTACTGAGGCTATGACTTTATTCTCAGGCAAGCAGTCTGTCATTGCACTTTTGAAAGATCATCAGTATCATGCTTGAACCAAGCATATCAATATTCACTTCCACTTCATTTTCTGGGTTATCAGTGAAAGCTCCCTTCATCTTGTTTATTGTCCTACTGAGGACATGGTTGCCAATGCTTTCACTAAGTCTTTACCTTCAGCCAAGGTAAAGCACTTTGCTGCTAAACTCAGACTTCACTCTGCTTGAGAGTGTGTGTTGGATTAGCAAGCAGGAGCTCCATTGTATCCTTCTGGCTAAGCTCAATACTCTTTTATATTAGAATGGACAATATATACTGAATATAGACCATTGAGTGCTCTCACTGTGTTTCTGCTTATTGCTACACTGTGTGAGAGTGAGTATCTACTTGTATTACTTTATATATCTTACTGACTAGTATCCTGTAGTTTATATTATAGCTAACAATGTATTCTACTAGGTCCTACAAATGCACATCACTTTCTTAGATTATGTGGCTGTCAGCTTTAATCTAAATGCTAACAGGCTGCAGTATAATTCTATTCATTTAAAGCTCTATTTTGCAAGGAATATTTGATATAGACAAGCATTGTTCTTAATTAAACTCTATGCTCACAGTGGGTCATACATCTATCTCACTCAAGATCACATCCAAAGGCACAAAATATTCCTATATAAAAATATTAATCAATGTTCAGATATTAGCTAATTGAAAACTAACATATAAAGTAATAGAAAGGTATCAGAGATTCTAAAACACTACATCATTTGAAATAGAACATACCAGTCTTGTATTCCATAATATGGGTAATATAGGAGGGGAAAAGTCAGGTAGCACATGTCTTATTCAATATGAAAGACATCAATACATACACTATCTAAAAAGACAATCTATTCACACTTACTATCATTGTGCATCATTTCCTACACTGTCACCCCACTACTGAGAGGCCGCCGCAGCCGATGCCAATGCTTTTGTGGCGACTTCATCATCAGCCGTAAACCCATCAGATGCTTCTCTTTATCCGGAGCTCGTCCTGATGAACACCCACCCAGTCCATAGTCTCCCACACAACCTCCTTCAATAAATTCCCGGAAGCCTGTGATAGTACAAGCATGCTTCTCCATGAAACTTGGCCACTGCTCAGAAATAGTGTCGAGCCTCTGCAGGCACTCGGGCCAAGCGGGATCATTTGCTGGACGAAGAAGGGCGAGACGACGGAGGCTGTCAGCTTTGTCACATGAAACAAGTGCTTTACAAGCCCTGAAGAGGTTGTCGGATTCAAATAGGTAGTCAGTGGATGTTTGGGAGATCCCAGAGTTTGATGCCAGTGCGGTGATAAAGGCATCAAAGATTGTCGGCAGATCAGCTAAATAAGCGTTATGTCGGTTGGGGTCAAGAAGACGCCGTGAAACAACATGAGAAAAGACCTCCTCCATGACGGGGGGGAACTGGAAGAAAAAAGTAGCGAGTTCTGCTGCCTGTTTAAAGTGAGGCCGGTATGTGCGTCCAGATTGAATTATCCATGGATTATCCTGGAACGCAGTTCGAACAAAGTTGGAAGCCATGTATGGGGTGCACCAGTCCTCCGAGTCGGGAAGAAATCGAGGTCGAGGAAACGTCGATTTGAGTACGCGAAGAAAAATCACCAACAAGACACTCTGATCTTCACTTCGCATCGAAGTGCTGCCACTGAAGTCCTCAGATGACACCAATGTATACAGCAGCTTCAGAACTGCGTAGCGATTGCAATCTAATCTGAAAGAAGGCATCTTGTCGTACCCTGGATCATCATATAGCCGGGATGAACCAACACCCATATACACTCCAATGTCTCGAATAACCGTTTCAAAAAAAGTATCAATGTAAGGATCGACGATGGTCACCGTTTGCATAGAAGAGCCAGCTATTGTCAAAAGTGCGCATAGTCGAGGATCCTGAGGTGCAGGAAATTCGTCGGCGGGATCAGAATGGAAAATACTGTCCTCCACAGCCCCGAAACAGCGCAATATGACATCGGCAACGTAGGGATACAGATACGTATCAACAGCCATCCGAAGAGTAACTACGTCATGATCTCTGGAGTCGCCAGTCAAACAAATCTTCAGTCCGTCCCTTGCCAAGAAAAGAGGAGGCGGGACATAATTCTCATGCCAGTAGGACGAGGGAATTGCACGGAAGAAAAATTGAAGGAGACCATCATGTACATCAAAGGGTGGCAATCTCCGGAGCAAATAGGCCCACACAATAGGCTGCAGATGCAATCCGGGAAAAGTCAATTGAGTTTTCACCAGTTCCGCGACCTCTTCGGGACTTAAAGTACCATTCAGCCTCCAGATACACAAAAGCTCCGCATAGACCCCTGGAGAAAATTGATCCTTTTCCTTTTTTCCGTCTACGGACCACAAGTAGAATGCGTCGACGTCGAAACGGAGACTTGCGCGAACAAGGCGATCGAGCCCACTTTCATGAGGATGATCCCGCATGCGTTCAGAGAGGGTATTGCATGTCCAAAATTCCCTTTGCGTGTTGTTTTAGAGACTTCACTGACCTCAGCGGTAAAGCACTGGTCGATTGTACAACAATGCTCTGTACACTAGGGTTGGAGGACATGCCGAACAACCAGGTTAAGGCTCGTACATCGATGTCATCCGCACAGGACTCCACAACTACAAACTCAACGTCTCGCAGTGAGTGGATGGCCTGAGGCTCCGACGATGATGACTCGTAAGGGACCGGGGATATGAGGTGAGCGAGGTAGGCATAGAGAAGGAACACATAATGCGACAATGGGGTCTTGTACGGGCATGAAGGGTACCAAATCGGAAGGAAATTGGTGATGAAATACGCAGCGAAGGACACAGAGGCGATGATCCCGACGACGTACGCAATCGACACGTTCAGCGGGACTAAAAAAATAACCAGACCCAGAAAAAACACTCCAACTGACGCGCTCAAGAGAACAGGTAACAACCCAATGATGAGACCCACACTCCACTGCTGGAGCCCCATGTACCGGAATTGACGTACACGGCACTTGTCCCGAGGTGTCCCCAACGGAACGGTGACATACTGGTGAATCCATTGTTTTGTAAGGACAGCAAATAGTGCGGTTGTCAAACTGAATGAGAGACTGGTAAACCACAGTCCGTTGACTAACACATCAGATGTCGTGGGACTAAATGTCGAAAACGGAGTAAGGTCTGAACGGGGAACGTCGTTCATGGAGGAGCCATTGGCCGCCGCGCGCTGGACGTCGATGAGCTCGTACACAAGTGTCGCCGTGACTTGACCGTAGTCGACTTGAAGGCTCTGCGATGTCTGAGCAACGAACGTAGTGACCACGGCGGAGAAGAGACCAGCCTTTCATTCAGTCATCAACAAAGGAAAATTCGAATTGCAGTATTTGCACTCACGAAAACCAGGAAAACATCTAGTCCATCCCTCCATTCATCCAACATCTCTGTGTCAAATGCAGCACACTCTTCAAGGTATGTCCGCCATACTCTAGCAAACGGACCCAGTTCCTCGTACTGTTTATCTTCCGGAAATTTTTGTTCATAGTCGGACGCGTCATTCCCTTCACTCTCAGTGAGTTATACAGCAAGTAAAAAGAACAGGGTAATGCACCTCCGACCTTGAATTCACGTTGCTGCACCCCAAATACATTGCGAGCTGCCTTTTTCTGTCGCCGAGGGGGATTAGCCGTCGTTCCAGGCTGGAGAATGTGTTCAGAGTCATCAGGTGTCCCTTGAGCATTCATGGGCGGAATCCCTGGGTTTTCGCCATCTCCATCCTCTGCAGCATGGACGGAAAGCATCGGTGTTGAGTGGAGCAGAAAAGGTGGTATCGTAAGCGACCATCCAGTGTTCGGTGATATCAGTATCAACAGACACGTGAATATTCGCAAATACCAGCATCTTTCTGACGAAAACCTAATCAAGTTGTCGTTTGGATCCTTGTACTAATGCAGTAAAAGCATTGTGCCGACAGTCCGGCAGCCAGTATGCCGAGTCAGCCTTCTCAACTTCCCTTCTACGGCACCCTGCATCCTTCCCTTTCTAGTCAAGCACCGACACTTCCCTGTGAATAAACTGAAACAATATCTAGCGCCAGCATTCCTTTCTTGCAGCAACGTAAACCTCTCTAATGTGCAAGACACTACGCAAGATTTTATTTCGTCGACTAGGCGTTGATTGCCGTGGCAGCATCTGAAGACAGCAAAATCTGGTAGTTGCGGAGAGGCACCGATCCAATTGTGTCAATATTTCGTGTTCTTGAAGAAAACGTGTAACAGTGTCGGAGGATATCATGACAAGAAGCTATTCTAAGCATTCGCAAGGGACTAAAAAGCAGGGAATTGACAAATCAGTGCATGGCTGAGAGGTTTGTAGCACTCGACATGGAATGGAGACAATAGACTGTTGTAAGTAGAGAGCAGAATAATGTACAGAGGATTAGAATTAGCCTCTCGAGAGAGAGACATTCTACTTAAATACATTTTGTATTACTTCGAGATCTTTCTACGAAATACTAAATAAGTCCGGATCACGATCCAAGTCAGCTGCTGCTGATTGGTATCGTATCTTCGAGTACATTCTCGTACTCGCTCGGGATTGCTATCCCAACATAGACATCGAAAGCAAAAATTTGCAGATTGATCGGTAAGATGATCGGCCGAATGTCCTGCCATTGAGTTACTGTGCGAGATTGTTCAATGCGAAGTATTATGCCATGGATAAATACTTACAGGAAGGGCCGCACTCTCCAATCGATGTAAAGGTACTTGAGCATAACAGAAGCCTGGCTCACATTGCGGCACAAAGAGATGCGTGTGGTCGAGGTAAATCATCTGGATGTCCAATCCCTGCAGTGGCTCAAGAAATATGCCACGGTAGGCGTGGAAGAAGAACAAACTGGAAGAAGGACTGGGCCCAGTCCTTCTTCCGTACGCGGGTATGAATGATTTCAAGGCTTTCAGGGCGCGGACCATCGAACGGGAGTAAGTCTAGCGATGTACCTGAAGCCTTCTCAGGCTGAAAAAAACTGAGGCTATTATGAGATACTTCAGGTGGGGGAGGCTGAGGGGTATGGAGTCACTCAAGGGATGCGACGGAGATATCTCCGATTTAGAGATTTGTTAGGCTGGTCATGGAAGATAGGATGAGCCCTGTTTGCGAGAGAAGGCCAGAATGATCACAATAGAAGAGGGCTGATTTGATATATTGACTGATATGAGGAGAGGTGTCGATGAGGTCCTTTAGACGGAGAAGAAGAGACTCTTCCCAGCATATTACTGTCATGAATCTAAAGAGATGTCGGCGGGTACAGGGATAGAATAGGCGGGTGACATGGGAGCAAGATATCAGGGTATGCTTGTCATAGTGGAGGTTATCCAATGTTTTTTCAATGAGTTCAACTAGTAATTCTGGCGTTTCAATCTGATATATGATGCCTGTCAAGAATAATCCTGATTTCCTACAAGTGAGAAACGTACGATTGTAATAGGCTCGCTACACGGCATGATGATGTCCATTTATTTGAACTTGGTGGACGTGGCTACCGGACCGCTTTGCCGGACATTGCTAACACATGTCAACAACTGCTTACAAAAAAATTCATATAAAGTTACCGACTCTAAGGAACGACAACCATGGCTTCCAGTCTTGCCAGACAATTGGCACAAGGTGCATCATTAAACAGGGCCCTTCTTATCGACCGGTCTCGACGAAAGCCGGTAGAATCTTACCTCTTCACTGGCGGAGAGGCCGACCTTCATGACCTAGAATCTATCCATGCATTGGGTACCAATGGATTTCTCCAACTTGTATCCATAACTCCGACATTATCAAAATTTGAAGGGCCTTTATTCTCTGACGCGTCTAAGGAAACCGACCGCACTCTTCTGCCCTCAGAAGCTCTCGCAGAGCTGGATGAGACGATTGCCGCTTTTCTGGTCCAGCTTGGACCGTATCTGATGGAGGCACCAACAGGCAAGATCATAGAATGGCTTGTCAGGAGATTTAGGTGCGTTGGTTATTTGTCGAAGTAAAGTTGCGAATGACCATGCTTACAGGATCAACGAATTCAATGTCGAGTCTGTTCTCTCACTGTTTCTGCCGTACCATGAATCACCTCATTTCGCCAAGATGGTTACCATCCTGCACGTCCAGTATGTGTTTCCCCGTACAGTGAACATGGAATTTATTTGTTGTCAGGCCCAATTCTACTTGGAACTTTCTCATTCCTTTCAAGAAAGCCGCTCAGAGCGTTTCCAGAATGGCACTTGTGAAAGAGATGCTCAAAAATTCTGATGTGTCTCGTTTCATTGTCAACCTCCTTCCAGCCGCAATCAAAGGGGGATACTCCCACCGATCGCTGTTGGCTTTCAATGCCGCTAGCCTACACGACTACATGATGCACAGCAAAACGCTAGATGACGGTACTCTGGCTTATCTGCTACCTGCTTTTCTTAAACCCTTGCAAAATCACTCCGAGCTCCCGGCCAAGGATGCCATTCTAGGAAGCTATATATTGCTGTCGACCCTGTCCCACAGATGCAGCTTCACCGCAGCTGCTCAAAAGGCCATTGTGGTGGCCATGTCTTCTTGTGCAGAGCGTGTGTCTTCCAGGCAATTCATTAGCGCCGTAGTCTCGGTGTGCGAGGGTCAAGATGGAATGGAAGATATCCCGGATAGTACTGTCGAGACAATACTTTGCCTACCGTAAGTTTTCGTTCTTTTAACACCGGCACGAGAATTTCATAAATTCTGATAGAAATATTGTCATCGAAGTAGGCGAAGCATTGGGCTGGGTCGGCACAGAAAAATTCCTCGGCCCTTTATTGAGTGGTTTAACTCAGCGACTGAACGAAGATGTGGCACTCGGGCTACTTGAGACGATTATAATGGCTTCAAATACACCAGATATCATTATAGGACGACTATCCGAAAACCTCATCAAGCTGGCCATTTCCGAGACAGAGTCATCAAATACAATTCTCGTCGCCCGACGCTTGTTGGTTCACGTTCATCAACGTTACTCGTCCATTCTGCATAGCGTCTCGGAGGAGATGGCTCAGGATGACGAGGAATTAAAGCCATCGTTGGACAACCTCGTAATGTCTCTTTCTATGGTATGTTCTCTTGAGCTGGGAGTGAGCTACACATGACCTTGGATGCAGAACCAAACATACAGTACGACTTCCGGTACATCGTCAAAAGATGGCAGTGGCGATGCGATCTTAGCCTCCTCCAGCGCAGACGCCAAGATACGTCTTATTGCGGTGAAAGATCTTATCAAGAGACATCTTTCGGGGTCGTTGACGTCAGAGCAAGAGGTACGACGCGAATCCTGATGTATGACACATCCGCCTAATTATGAAGCATTCAAGGTCTCGCTTTCCTCTGCGTTGGTTGCTCGTACCCAAGATTCAGATCATCGTGTGTTGGAGGCTCTGTATGAGCAACCTGAGGTCATCCTCCCTGCACTGATCAAGGATTCGGAGACGTACATAAGTCAACTATCGACCTTGCTTTTGAGTACAAAACCGAAGCGTCCAATCCTCAAGGCTCATTTAAACTTTTTGATTGGACATTATCAGAAGGTGGACATGGATACGTCGGAGAAAACATTCCATAAAGTTGTCTTTCCTCTGATGTTATTCTCAAAACCACGGCAGCTTACCGTGGAGGCTTTGTGGGACATCCTCGAGCAAAATGTCCCAAAGTCTGGTGCTGGGTGCTTTGAGCTATTGAACGGATGTATCGATCTATGGACCTCCACGAAAGTGAAAGAAAGTACCGACGGTGTTGATAAACTGGCGACCTTCAACACACAAGTCGCTGCAAGAATAGCGGGTCAGTCTTCTGTCCACTTTCCATCGTATCTGCTGACGCTTTCTATCAGAAAACATTCTATCTTCTAACAACTTCTCGCATCATCTGGACGAGCTCATTGCCAAATTTAACGATTCCAATGCCTACGTACGGATATTGGCTTATCTTGTCACACGTTCACTACTTCGTCGTCTTTCTGGTAGCCATCAGATTAATGCTGCGCACAAGGCGCTACGGGCCCTGGATCTCGAACAGCTCTCAAAGGTTGAGGATCTCTCGTGTGGTTCCGAAGATCCTCTGAAGGTGAGCTTGATAGTAGAATGACTGATATCATGTACTAACCCGTGCTTTCAGTACCTTGACGACGAGCGTATTGGAAAGAGTGTCATACTGAAGCCTAACAGCAAAAACACGGCATATTGGCTCCAGATGTCCATCATCACAATATCGGCCAGCGTTTCAAGCCCCGAGGGGGTCTTGGTAAATTGGCTTTCCACCAGGCCTATGCAGGTGAGTCGTTCTTGTAGTTCGATTGCCGAAGACCAATCTGATCAACGTCGTCCAGGGAACGTCGGACGACCGTGATCATCGCTACGTCACTTTGATGCGCTCAATTTATGAGATGGCAAATTCATCAAGCTCAAACGTTGCGATGCACATGCTTCGAACTTTGTTCATGAATATCGCAGACGAGGCACTGGCTTTTTTGACTGGTATCTGGGCGATTAGTGATGATGAAGATCTCGCTGTTGTTGCTTTCGGCCACACCATCGCTCTACTGAAGGCGCATATGTCTGGAGATGAGAGCGTCGACTTCCAGACCATTGTCCCTTCGTTGTTGGTTTCTTTACAAAGTCCAAGCCTTGAAATTAGGAAAGCAGCATTACAATGCGTAAGCCTGTTGGCGAAGGCGTCCGAGAAGAAGTACGTTAGAGTATACGCATTTGATACTATCTATGGAGCGAGTACAGGCGAGTGTTTTTCGATTTTTGAGGATGATCTATTATTGAGTGATTTGAATGAAACAGTGAACTTGCAATATCTTGACCAGGACGATCTTAAACGGTATCTTTCAGCTATTGTTGAGCATGAGGAGCATCTACTTCATGATCCGGTATTCCTATCTATCTTCCACATAGAGCATCTCCAGCGACTAAAGTCGGACAAACGGAAGCATGCACAGTAGGTGTTCATCGTCTTGTCAGAGACCATGTTTTCTGACGGATTACGCAGATACAAATATCGTATGCTCTGCTTTCTTGCGTCACATATCAACGTGTCGCCGTCTCCACATTCTCAGCTTTTCCTACTGAAAACTATTGGCAGCATTTCTGACGAGGATAAAGCCGTGATTCTCCTTCCATCTGTGAAACTGGTCGCCGAGGACGCCCAGGTCAGGGACATATTTGGATCAACTTTGGAAGAGTTTACGTTGCTATTGGTTTCCGCTTTCGATGCTTCGTCTGCAAAACAATTGAATTCGGATAGTAACGAAACGTGGAAGACATATTGTCACTGTTTACGTCATTTCTTTGGATCTGGTAGGCGGAAAAACACTAACTATTCCACTGTAATGACGCATATAACTCAGGCGCGTTGTCATCCCCAAGAACCAAGCTGACGGAATGTTTAGAGCGAGGCTTGTTTGCGAACCTGACAATGGAGCGCAAGATTGAACTTTGCGGTCTCCTCCTCAGTCTCAGCACAGAAGACTCTGATGTGGTAAGTTCCATATACCTCTATCGATATCACATTTAAACTCTCTTTAGCATGCTGTTTGCACTGCCCTACTAACAAAAATTCTAATCGAGCCGGCTTTGATTGCGCAACTTCTCAATGCGCTTCGACCTGACTCCGGCAACGGTCCAAGAGCCAGCAAACGTCCCCGATTGGTAACCGAGTCAGTTCGATCACCAAAGCTACTCTTTGCGCTTTGGCACTAACGTATTTTTTGCAGACCTTCTCAAGAAACTCTTCCCAGATTGAGTATTTTGGCTGAAGTATTGGCGACGGCCTCTCTGCCCGGTTCTTTCGACGTCATTGTCGCAATGGTTCAGGCGTTGAGCAGTATTATACAGTCTTCGTCGTCGGACAATGTTGACATTTCTTTCATTGAACAATCCATGATGTCCGCAATCGATAACGTTGCAGATAAAGTCACGGTATGTAAGCATGTACTGTCAGTTGTATGGTTCCTGATTTTGGCATATACAGGAAGCTCCAAATGTGACACCAAGTGCTATTCGTTTGGAAGTCTTGGTGGATCTCATTCGCAGTCAGTCTCGTGATGTTTCTCTGCGCACTCTTTTGTCTTATCGTTTTTATAGCTGCACAAAATCCTCAGACATTCCAGCAGGCATTGTTGCTTATGGCAACATTAGCCAGGCTCACGCCCGACTCTGTCCTCCACAATATCATGCCTGTTTTCACTTTCATGGGGTCGAATGTGTTTCATCGCGACGACACGTACAGCTTTACTGTTGTACAAAAGGTAATGAAATTCCTTTCGGGTCAAGGTCATAGTTTACTGAAGTTATTCAGACAATCGACAGTATCGTACCGGTCATGGTTTCTTCCTTGAAGCGTTCACATTCTTCTCGAATGGACCTTCACCTGGGTTCCCGCGAGTTTTTGCGAGTGTTCACTGATGCTGCAAACCACATACCCCGGCATCGTCGTACCAAGTTCGTCGTTGCTTTTGCCACCATCTTCGTTTTTCTGAAGTTATAATTAGTTTCTTCATTCATTTGGTGGATGTCCTAGGCCCTAATGATTATCTGGCGCCCGTTTGTCTTCTTCTCATAGAAAAGGCCGCTAATCGCGTTGTACGTCAAAGCCCAGATGAAGCTCGTGGTACATTTGCGTTGCCGCTGTCGCTGCTCCATCACTACCCTGGAGCCATGCAACTCTTCGTACGTGCGGTGTTCCGCTGGGACTGCCCTTTTTAGCTCACATTGTTTCAGGTCCTCACCGAGATGCTTGAAGAAAGTCACCGACTTGCTTCCCGGGCGAAAGATCCTGAGAATCTCGAACCATCCTTCCTTGATGACAACTTGTTCGTGGACATTGGCTTTGCGTTCTGGATCACACTAATGTTATGGTCATAGCCATGATGAACATTCTGTTTCTCCCCTGACAGCTTTCAAAAGAAGAGCTCAAGCCATAATTGGTTTTGTTGGTTTCGCTACGAAGTCAACAACGGGATCAAGCACTGATATTAGTGCATTTGTGTCTCTTCTGGTGCTCCTGGCAACTCTACCAAGCGGTCAGGGATCTGATGCTCGAATGGAGGATGTGAACAAAGCTTCACGCGTGTCGTTAGCACAGGTGCTCAAAGTCATGTCTGCTATTGACTTCTTGAACTCTGTGATTGCCATACTCGAATCTTCGGAACAAGCGGTAATCGTTTTCCTCTAATCTGAATGCTTCATCTGACTTATTTTTCAGGTGCAGGTCGGTGCTCTGGACCTCATTGCCGAACGAGTGCCCCTGGTATCGGACAGTATTCGTCGAAAATCTACCACAGCTATTGTGAAGATCATTGATCGCACAAAGGATCTCCTCGTTTCTTTCCCCACTGGGCCTATTGCCGTCTCAGGTCTTAAGGCTTTACGATCCATCGGTGCCCATTTTTGTCCTGGAGAGGAGGCTGCTATCACGCAAGTTCTTCCTGTGTTGATCTCTGATATCCGCGGTAGCAAGAACACAAACTATGCGATGGCTGCTTTGTCGCCTCTGGCGTATGTTCTTCTTCATTCATCTCCATCCTTTTTTGACGTCGCCGTAGTGCGAAATTAGGTCCCAGGATTATTCCATTCTTCCGTGAGATCGTCGATCTCTGTGTAGGCATTCTTCGTGACGGAGCAGAGGGTAGGTGCTTGCGAGACTTAGGTATTAGAAACGCTGATCAATTCATTGCAGAATTGATGTCCACGACGACTGACGTATTGCATGGGCTTTTGACATCAATTCCTTCATTCTGGGGAAGCGGGGAACTTACTCAAGTTATCAAGTTTTATGTCTTCGCTTCCAGAGGGAGGCGGACCACGTCATTAACATCGTTTGTCAAAACCATGACCAAGAAAGCCCCAGAGAAGGTCGTTGTCCCGACTCTCACCCAGATATGGACGTCATTGTTCCCAAGTCCGTCTGTTGTAAGAAGGCTTTTTCAGCTTTCCTCTTCCGACCTTGACATATACTTTATTTAGGACCATTACGATGCCTTGTTCGATATCGTGAAGAAATCCCTTCGTGTAGCGAGCAAAGAGGTCATTCAGGACAATTTGAGAATCCTCTACAATATGTTTTTAGAAGCGTTTGGCGCCTTGAATTACAGTGACCTCGTACGGTGTTGCCTTCGTTCGTTAACCCCTTTGACCTTTTTCCAGTCTAGAACACCGGTAGTAACCGCCTTCCTCGAGCTAATCGTCAAGATCAATGAAAATACCTTCAGGCCACTCTTCCGACGGCTTTATGATTGGGCCTTCGTGACTTCTGCTGGTATGTCATTTGATTATCGGAGGGGGGCCTTGATATAACTATTTTCTAGACGATGTGGCCAGGAAAGTTACGTTCTATCATGTCTATTCTAGCCTCTTGGATTACTTTAAGGTGTGTATGACGTTTTATATGTTAATTCCTCCGCTCACAACATATCATTTGCAAGGGATTGATGTGTCCATACATGTCGTTCATCATACAACCATCTATTGATCTCTTGAAGGCTTTTACTTTAGGTTACGATGGCGCATTATGGTTGGCCGTTCTGGAAACTCTTACTAAGAGTATGAACTATGACAATGGAGGTAAGGTGCCCCTGATACTTCATCAACCTTTGATTCATCCATCACTGCTCAGTCTTTTGGCGTGACGATAAACTACGGCACATATCTCCGCATCTCATATCCCAAGTTCCTGTTTGCTTGAAGCTGAATCTTCCGGAAGGGAAGCGGCTCCTCCAAGATTCGTTATGTGCACTCACGGATAATGCAACGGATGACGTCTTGCTCAAAGCAATCAATCTTGATCTTCTGATGCATACCCGTTCAGAGGACGTTCAAGTACGGCTATATACATTGGTGTGCTCAAAAACATTGTGGCAGATGCATGGTGGAAAACTTCTTGGTAAGAATAGCCCCATGTGACAACGATCCCCGACCTAATAACCGATCGCATAGGATTCGTGGCAGAGACATCAACTTTCATTGCGGAATGTAGCGAAGACGAAAATGATATGGTAGCGAGAGAGTCCTTAAACCTAAAAAATGCAGTGGAAAGCGTAGCAGGAAACATAAATGGTTTATGAGATGAATAAGATATTATTGTATAACCAAGGGGGTAGATGGGTATATGCTATGGTTGAGGTGATAGATCCCGCTCCTGTATTATCTCTTCAATAGCCATGCACTGGGATAATATCTGTATGATGACAGGACGGCCGCATGAGTTGTTAATAAAGGGACTCTGAGGGATTATATAAGATCAAGTTCAGGTGAATATGAAACAGTGTACCTTGGCTAATTCTGCAGGAGAAGGTCGCGTCACAGGAGGATCAGAACATGCACGTAGAAATTCCCGGAAAGCTGGTGAATACACTTCTGGATGAGTCAACGGCGGCCAGCGGCCCTCAACTTCCGACGTTTGGAAGAACGGTGGTTCGGCCTCAGCCATCTCCCATACAGTCGCTCCTAGTGACCATACGTCCACTTTGAGGGGATCGTAAGGTCCACTATAAACGTAGAATAAGAGAGATGAAAAGTAACCACGCTGAAGACAAGGTACGCACCATCGCACTTCCGGAGCTTGCCAGTACAAGACTCCGACAGGATCAGAACATGTTGACTGGGAAGTGGCCTGAATGGCATTGGAAAAATCGGCTATCGATGCAGTGTTAGCGTATACAGACTGATGGCATTTTTTACCCACTCAGTTTGAGTATCCCGTGACTATTGAGGAGCAGATTATCCGACCGAACATCCCGGTGGGCAATACCGTGTGATTGAAGATACACAAGCGCCTCCAACACCTAAGCACACAACATCAACGAGTGTTAACTTCTGATACCAGATACGATGACTCACATCACTCGCAAAACGTGCTATCATTCTCTCCTGTAGCATCAAGCCTTCAGTCACCAGCCCAATTACATCCGCCAAACTCCTCTCCATTAGCTCCATCCGTATCCACAAAGAATCTTCCTGAAGATCCACATACAACGCATCCAAACCGAGGACATTCGGATGCATCAGACCCTTCAGCAGCTTCAGCTCGCGTTCCAGATCAACGAGCTTCTCCGATCCGGATGGGAGAATCGCTACGCTCTTGATGGCCACAAGCGTTTTGATGCCGTTCTGTGCGTTATCATTATCCTGCGCTTTGATAAGGGGCGGTAGCTTTAGCTTGTGTGCTTTATCATCCGCGAGGGTGGCTGCATACACCGAGCCACTCTCGCCTTCCGCAATCTCTTGCAAATTAAGATAAACCTCCCTGGGATCGACAGGCTCATCGATGAACTCCTCCAGCGGGCGTACGACCTCGGAAAGCCACCCGCGATACCGTTGAGCAGAAATCGGTGTCGTGCCAGCAGATGCAAGCGATGTCATCGGAGCCAAAGAAGCTCTTGCACTGTGGATAACAATAGTAGGCCGCGTCGATGTTACACGCTCGATTTCGGCCTCCTCCTCAAAGTCATCGAGCTCATCGTCCTCTTCTTCTTCCGCCGCCAACACTTCCTCCTTGTGCACACCACCGAATGTATCCGACCTGGAAAGCACCACACGCGGGTCAGGCTCGAACGACGTCTTGTTCGGATCTGGAGATGATTCTTCCCAGTACAACGCAGGATCAGCATCTGTCGTTGGTGTCTGGTTCTCTTGAGATTGTGAACTCGACGACCCAGACCCAGATCCTTCTTCACTCTCGAAATGAGAACTGAGAGGTGAACCAAGTTGTCTGCCCATTGGAGATCGCGATCGAATACCCATGAAGTCGGCTGCTGTAGGCGATGGTAGAAAGCCCTTGTCATCTTCCTTCTTCTCCCTTGTACCTATGTTCGGTAGCGGAGCGGGCTTATTCTTCCCCATCACATTAGCTACCGCACACCTGGCCACCGATGCGCTTCTAATAACTGTTGACGCCGTAACGGTAGCAGTAGACATCGTCGACGCACTGCTCTGACTCGAATAGCGATTTGAATCTCTCTCCCGATCGCCGTCTTCAGCACTCAAGAAGCTGCGATTATCTTCATCATCATCTAACCAGCCGCTCCGTACCTTATCCTCAACCTTTTTCGTATCAGTGGTTCCAGGCGTCAAAAGTAGCGTCGGGGAATGATTTTCACTCAATGCGGGGGCGCAGAACTTGGGATCAGGACTTAACTTGCCGCTCCTGCTGAGAACACCCGATAATTCACCCCACGACTGCACAGAGGCAGGCGACAGCGGCTCACCATAACGTGGACTAAGGGACGAGGTGGCGGCGGTAGGCGGAGGTGATAGTGATCGTTCATCTTCGTCATGATCACCATTGATGACAACCGGTGGAATGGCACGAGAAGGAGGAGATGGCCTGCTCGGCGAGGGTACAGAAGGTGGTGTTCTCTTTGGAGGGGGGGGTCGGGAGGTGGATATTTGAGACGATGCACTCGACGGTCCTACGTCGCTTCTTGCGCTCAACATATTACTTTCACTACCTGGTGAACTGCGCCACGAGGATGACCCAGACAAGGACACAGCAGTTGAACGCTCCGTCCCGGCTGTAGCAAACGTAGATGAACCGGAAGGAGGCCCGCTATCTGAACTTGAGAGGTCAGACGGTATAGCGGATATCAGCGCTTCTGACCATGAGGAAAGATCAGAAATCTCATGAGCATGCAATGATAATCGAGGCGGTAATGTGGTGAATCGCTTCGACCGCCGTTTCTCCTTGGCCGAGGACTGTGACGAATTTGAACTGACGTGAGAAGACACTGATGCGTCGCGTGAAGCCACACTTTCGACGCTGTGTTGTGATCTATGGCGAAGAGGTTCGGAGTCTAACGGAGGTGCAGGAAATGATGAAGGCGGTGTTGAGTGGGGTGAAGACTCAAACAGGGTGCGGTCCTTTTTGTCAGCCGGATATCCGTTGTTGGTAAGCCAGGACTTGGAATAGGAAGGGGGCGGAGACTGCATGGATGGTGAGCCGTTTGTAACGTGAAACGTTCGTCTAGGTGGGGTAGAAGATATTCCGGAGTCAGCCCCTGCAGGCGATGCCATGACCGGTGGACTAGACTCGTGGACATCAGGATGATGTGGGTCAGAGTTTATTGATATCGACAATGATGCTGAAGACGCTCCCGAATCGTTTCGTATTCGTGACGAACCCGGCACCGGCTTCCTTGTGCAGATATTAATGGGCGCAGGTGGACTTTTACTCGGCGTGGTGTGATTCGAAGATATAGAGCCATTTGATGGTGAAGACCTTTGGTGATTTTTCTTACTCAGGGAAGCGTCCGAGTATTGACGAGGAAGCGAGGTAGTCCTGGGGGAAGGTCGTGTAACGATGGATGCGTTACGCGTAGATGAAGTATCGTTTGCTGGAGATCGAGGTCGGTCCGAAAATAAGTACTGTGATGCCGGAGACCGTGTACCTGCCGTTCGACGTGCTTCTTGTATTGCAGCCATCTCTTCCTCCGAGTATCCTGCATCAACTAGCTTTGCTGCCCATGACGGCGGAAGACCGGCATACCTAGTAATAAATAACAAAATCAGAAGAAAAACTACAAAGCAAACGATAGACGTACGCCTCATCCACATGGACATTATGCTGTAAACCAGGTATGAGAAAGCGCAGTCGAACCATCGCAAAGTGACGCACCTGAAAGTTCCATGGCATAGAGATGCCTTCGTCATTCGAATCAAACGACTGGAGCGTTGACGTCTCATCCTTCACGGAACTCTTCACTGATGGCGACTTTGGACTCCGTTTGGCGAACCTGAAAAAGCCCGACCTTTTGGGGCCTAAAGGCTGGCCCTGCTCAGGCGTATAGGACATGGCGGAGGCTGAAGACGATATGAGCGACATAGTGGAGCTATTGGGTTGTGGAAAAGTGGATTGCTTCCTCGGCGCAAACGGGTACTGAAAGGGAGGAGAAAGAGGGGAGCCTGGTAGCGAAAGAGAATCCGGAGATAATGAAGCCAGGGACCGGTTATTCAGATAATACGAATCTTTTGGTGGTGGTAGCGGCGGTAGTGAGGATTCCTTTTCCTTCTTGTGTAATTTGAAGACCTTGAGCGTTGAAAACCGCGACGACTTGGCGGCCCCCTTGATGTCCGGCGAGCTGCTCGATGCCATACGTTCGTCACCGCCAGCGTCGCTGCTGCGTGTATATCCTCACTTCCTGGCCTAGGTACCCGGATATGGCCTGACAAGCAATATACGGGCTACAGGCTGTTGATATGCGGCGTCAGTGTAGGCCTGAGTTGATGTCCAAGGCTACTGATCCGGATACCGTAACAAGGAGCCCGTCACGACGAATAGCGACAAACGGCACACGGTGCGATATGCTGAACCATACAGATCCGCTGCTCGTCGTCGTCCGGATTGTCGCGGGATCGTTGTAGAAGGGATCGAAGATGGAATTCACCGTGACGTGACGCGGAGTGTGACGGACGACCCTGTCCTTTTACGCCTTTACCATTGAATTCGGATTGTTTCATCAACTAGAACCATCTTCTTGTCTGGTCTCATCTATGTCAGCAATCCTGTTGCATGTCCTTGGTCGTGATACGTCCGTACTGGCTGTCCTGTGTCTTCTTTCTTCCTCCATTTCTGCATTTCCTTCAATCTGCCCATCATCATGGAGTTTGTCCTTGGAAGTTGCTTGGAAGTTGAAAATTTATTGGCCAAGAACGGGCGCTTACCGGTCTTTGCGGACCACCAACTGCTCTAATATTTTCGTTTTCATCGCTCTCCTGCCGCATGTTACCAGTTTCCGTTCCATGTGGCGTCGTCCAGCAGTAACTCGTTCTGATTTTACAGCGTCATACATTGTCTTGGGAATACAGCCGTACGGCATCTATGTGTTCCGTGCATCTCATTCCTCGTACCTCGCTGAAAAATTCGCATGGCAATCCCTCGAAAAAACTTGGAAAAGGACCCATTTCCAGGCTCCCCAAACCCTAGACAGTCAGGACGCCAGACTTACGAGATACGACAGGTTCGAATTATCCGAGGTGCATTCCGTCTCCATCCGAAGAACAATTGGCCATTGCGGGAACTACATTGCAACGGTCGAGGACTCAACGAGGCTGAACTTCGGATGTTGCAGTCATATATACGAGCAAACTGTCCCACCAGTCCAACCGGAATCATTAAAAAATGCCGCCGGCAGCATCTATCAGTACTGTTCAGCTCGTGGACGTAACCTACTGGAACACACTTGAAGTTGTATACATACTAACTGCAAACATAAACTGTGCAACCCTCGCTTTCCTCGTTTTTATTTGCCATTTGCAGCTCTCGGAATGTCGTTTTCTGCGTGCTGCTACGGTATGTGCATTGTCAGTGGCGTCGGCTCTCCTTTGGATATAGATCGGGTTCAGTGACAATCTCTGGGCCCGACACTACTCTTTTTGGACGGCCCGATCCGTCGGTGATACGATTCGGTTTTGAAGTCCGTAGGCTATCACCACACGGGTGAGCAGCCCTTCGATATGCACCCGGTTTTCGATCGTCTAACGACCTTGTCCCTACTAGGATTTGCGCTACCGGTCCGATTGTTCCTCTTGGGATGTAGCCATTTGCTAGCCTACCTGAGATGGCCCTGCCTTCTGGGTAGAGCAAGCCATTGAGTAGACCTCGTTGAACACGACATCCCTTGTCTGGATAGTCCCAAACCGTGCATCCCTGTGCAATATATTGTTGAATTTACTCACAAATCTCATGTTTTTCATTTCCATATCTCAAGCATCAGGTCAGCAACATCACCCCGCGTCCGGCGTGCATCTTTACGAAGCCCGACCGCTCACCGGTCAGAAAACTATGCAAAAATTTCCACCGCTATTTCTGGATTCCTATCAGATCACAGCGACCCTCGTTGTCCCATGAAGATCTACTATTTCTAGGCGACTACGCAATGTATAAGTATCACCCTACAGACAGTTGCCTCCTCTAGCTCCACCCCCCATGTCTTCATCCACGTCATCACATGTCTCCTGTCTTGCTCAGCGACCATTTCTCTTGATGCCAGAATGGTGCGATCATTGCCCCCATAGCTCGAGTGAACACTGTCCTGTTCGGTGTGGCCACGCCAATGACCAACCACCTTGGTCTCCCATGTCTCGTCGTGGAGAAAGCGATGCCTACCACAAATTATGGTGCTGCGACTGCCAAGTGTATTGCGGGGACCACTCGTCACATACGGGTCCCGCGTATGACTACGAGCAGCTCAACGTCGAGCTATGTATGCCTGTCAAGATACCCCCCGTCGACAGCCGCCTACTCACCTTTTTTTTTTCCAGACAAAGCTCACAAACACCCACTCTTATCCTACGTGATGGATCTTTTGCGACATATAATATCCGCCCTATCCGCGATCTTTCCTTCGCGTCGAGTCGCACAATGATACCCTACCTTTTTACATAGCGATCTATTAACGCGTACACATCTACACCTTTCTTTTTCCGATATCCGTCTCTGGACCGTTTCTCGACCACGCCACCAGTTATTAAACCACTCCCCGCTCCTTCGCTTCTCTTCGATACCATAGAATGCACTAGAGCCTTCCACGTAACTTTGATGCGAATCGTATCGATAATCTAGTCATATGTCTACTCCACGGTCCCGTGCTTTATGAGAGGACTCAAGAAGCCAGCTTAAGCTACTGAGACTTAGTTTAATGACCGCGACTGAGTAATAATATTTGCAAGTGTGTTGACAATTATAAGTAAACACATTCCATCGGTAAACACAAATTGTCAAGGGAACGATGATGAACCTGAGCACCCATGAGGACCCACTATGACCAAATACGACGGTGGGACTCGTGGCAAATGGTCGGTGCCGCCTGTAAACCTACCCTCCTCACAGAAAAGGAAATTCAAGGCGCCACAATTTCACTCAGCAGCAGACCAGCCACCTGCCGCCATGGTACTTTTATAAAAATTTCAACTTACAATGTCATCTCCGACGCAAACGCTTCAAAGTGCACCCCAAGTCGGTAGGGTGCCACACGGCGTTCTCCGACCACGAGGTTCGCTCTCATTCAACAAGTTGCCCTATATTATTAATACTATTACAGTAAGCGCTCGTCAAGCTTCCGTTATCTCAAGTGCTGCCGATCCCAAGATCCGGGTCCCCTCTATCCAATCCATCATTAAATCACGGCAAACTCGAAACAACCCTTCGCAAAGAGTAAACTCAAACTACCTGGAAAAGTACAACATGCGCCACGCACGCGCTGTACGACAAGGTCCCCGAACATTATGTTTTAGCCCATAATCCATAAACCCCGACATGATGGCGCGTTGAAATACTCAGAGCTACAGGTTACAGTTCCGAAAACGCTAACGTACAGCCAGAACAGTGATCACCGTCTGAGTTCCCGCTGCCGGGCTACTTAAAGGCTGTTCGGGTAGCTCTCTGCCCATCCCACAGCCCAACAACCCAACAATAGCCTCCTCTTCTGCTTTGCCGTCCTCATTATCGTCCGAGTGCCACTGTTGCCCTCACAAGGACTCGCACTACTTCACTCGATGTGGTTGCCCCAATGACAAACCGCCATCCCATCCTATGCATATCATGGATGACGCTTTCCACCGTGAATGGTGCACAATCTGTCTTCTATACTGTGTCCAGCCGGCGACCTGCCGCCACAAACGACACAAGGGCGTCATCTCAACGATCTTGTCGCATTTTTCACGTACGTTCCCTCCCCTCCCCTCCCCCCCTCCCCTCCTTGCTCTGTTTAACACATTTTATGACGTCCAGATTTCCGCCGCCATGTTCTCGGAGTCTTCCACTTACACAGGCTCCCATGAGGTAGGAGTCACCTCCGCAAGTGTTGTTCTAACTCTGACACAACTTTAAAAAAAAATCAGTGACCGGCGATCAAGTCAATTGAATTCATATCCAAGGAACTATTTTTATATCGAGCCAGTAGATTTATTCGAAGTAATGTAGCGGAGCTTGAAGGTCAATATTTAATCCCCCGTATAATCAGTAGTAGGATACATCTTGAGTCTGGATGCTGTATGGAACACCTAACTCCTCCCTTTCTTCCTTGGCGGTTTCGGGAATTGCACCGGAGCCGTCAACACCGCCATTTTCGTGTTAGCGATATCCGTGGACAGCCCGTACCTCGCACGATCTCTTTCGCCAAGTTTCTTCAACTGACAACCTATCATTCAAAACATGAGTCCCAGTCCGATACGAAGCACTTGTGAGTTACCTAAACTCCGGAACAACTGGTTCACTCTGTAATAGTCATAAAGTGTGAGCAAGGGGCGCGTAAACGAATTCAGAAGGCTTACTGGGTAGGCGGAATGGATAGGTCATGAGCGATGACACCGGGATCAGAAGCGTAATCATCGACCTTGAGACATAACGCGAAAAGATGCGTGAGGAGCTTCGTCTCCGCAGTCTTGGTCACTCGATGGCTAACATATGGAAATCAGTACACAACGGCACCAATAGCGATATCACGCACACAGTAGACTCCCTGGAAAACTCCGTAAATCGGGCCAAGAGACTATCCAAGATAACAGTAGGGATTGTTGACAGACGCTCCTCAACTTTGGCCTTCTCAACCTCTTTATGCCCAGTTGCACGTCGGAAAGCGAGCATGGCTGAAATGTAGTAGATTATTTTCCTGTAAAAAAGCTGCCATCAGCATTCGCCAAAGGAGGGGGAACAAAAAATACCCACAATTTCCTCTTCGTTCCCTTCTCCGATAAATCTAAATGTTTCAGCTTTGAATACACCCAATCCGAGTTACGTGTAGGCAACAGCGCAGCTCTGTCTTTCTCGCTTGTAGACTTGTTTAATATCTCGGTGGGTATCGCCTTCCATTCGTTCTCCGGTATGATATCATGCAAGTCATACACCTCCGCAGGATTGCTCGTCGTAGCATTATAGGGTGGGATCGGACGGCTCATATCTGCCACTTCCTTGGCTTCCTCTGCACAGACACCTTGTATTAGTGACTGGGCACCGCCCAACAAGGGAAATGAAAACATACGCAGAGTGGGCAACCCCACCGCGCCCATATCGATGGCATCCTGGACATACCCCATCACGCCTTTCATAGCGCTGATGTCGACCTTGTTACGTTCCTGTGCTCGAATAGCCGCTTGTGACTTTTTCGTCCCAAACGACTCGCCAAGCGCATTCCTTGCCTCGCGGTAGGCCAACTGGGTTGGTACAGAACTTGAGGAAACCGACTTGAGCGCTTTAACGGTGCGTGCCAACGAATGTAAAGGTGCTGGTGCTGGCAGGAGCGTAAGCGAGGATGTTCGCGGGTTATGTACCGCCAGGAGATACCTAATATTTCCTGTTATTAAACCAGCAGGAAATGATTACCTGGTCACTCACCGACAGCCGGAATCCGCAATATGCTTATTCTCTTCTTCATTGGAAACGAACTCTACACTAGGCGTTTCTCCAACGATGATCATCGCGTCCGGGCTGGGCTTTGGATCGCTCTTGCCCTTTTCATTGGTCTTTGACTTGGCTTTTTTTCGAGCATAGCACTTGAATGGTGTTGATGTAGGAACATCGATACCAGGAAAGCTCACTAGCATGTCGTCAACACCGGCAATGTTCCATGAATGTTTCTCGCACCTAGTACAGGTCCATTAGTCCTTGGATTAGTGCTCGTGCTGGAAACAGTAAATGTCAATCTTTCCGGAGATTCTTCACGTTTGCGTTTCGTCCCAGACGCGCTCATCGTTGACAGAGGGACGCTGCACACGTGAGAAACAACGAAAAATTTGGGCTCCGATAAGATAAGATCAAAAAGCAGGGGTTTCCCGTAATCGTTGATCCAGAAGTCATACTTATATAAAGTACCTAAATCTTGGTACATAATATTACTGACAGCGAAAAGAAGAAGGAACTCCAGCACCCTCGGCGGGAAATCGCTGGGACTCCCCGCTGGTACATCTAGTCCGGACCAGGTCCGTCTGGTCCAGTGGTATAAACATCAAGCGGTGAAAGAGATACAGCAATACATTAACGAAAGCAATGCGACATGCGTGTAAAGCGTAGCGCGTTTAATAATGAGTACGTGTGTTAAACATCGTTCCAGCGTTGTCAAATTAATAAGTGAGCTAGTTAGTGAGCGTCAGTGATGAGTTAATCATCGATGATTTTTGAGGAATCAGCACTTCCTTCTTGAACTTACCTACTCTATATGTAGATCTTTACCTCCTGTTCTCCTATCGTCCACCCATCTTTGATCTCAGTCGTTCACTATTACGTGTGACAGAGTGAGATTCTGTTCTATTAACAACAACAATATGTGGGCCATCGTTTCATCTCTAAAGGCCCTGGGTGATGACAACCGAGAAGTCGGAAAAGTATGAGCTTTGATCTTGTGGGGATGGCCAATCTGAGGTAGATCCTACGACATCGTTTAAGCCACCAGGACGTACGGACTGGTCGAAAAACAAATCGGGGCATACCACCAAAGAACGTCCGGAAACATCATCCCTCTGATCTTACCCTCTTCACTGTTCCTAAGAACGAGGCCCATAACGCTAATGACGCTGTCTCTGCCAACAAGAGCTCCAATTCCCCATTCTCTTGTCCAACGTCATTGAGACGTACGCGTTCGCTCACCGTTGTTCCCTCTCCTGCCTTAAAAGAGAAAGCCCCGTGACCGACCGAAGTCCCGTAGGTCGGGTTACACTCCGATCCTTCATTACTGCAAAAGTTGCTATTGGCGTCGAAGCTGAGGGGAAGGTACGTGTAGATCTCCCCAGCACCATCTGTGCGGAACGTCAGGCGAGCGGAGAAACACTCGTCTGAACGACGGCCACCGGAACAGCTTTTAGCGGTACCCTCGCTATTGCCTCTATCTGGGACGAGAAATCTAGGTCAGGAAATAAGGCCCGCCAATATACTTACACAGCCCAAGGAGCTTTCCATCCTTATTGAATTCGAACCCCTCCTCAAAGAAAACATAGTACTCGAACGTGGCCTCTTTGGCAGTGGTCAAATCGAGACTGTCCGGTCCAGGAGCATAAAAGGAGAAGCCACCCTGGGGATCATCTAGGGATCGTGCCCAAACATGTAGGATCCCTGGGGGTAGAACGCTTTCATTGACTCCACGCCGTTTGGAGCATAGATGTAGTCGTGCGAGAGGGTAGTGATCTCATTGTGCCCTCGCAGCGTGCTATTCGACAAAGGAAGGGCTCATCACCCAATGTAGAAGTCATCCAAAACTTCTATGCCAAAAGAGTACCCATCATTCAATCATAAGAGAAATAAGAAAATAAAACATTGCTTTCAATTGTTTCGTGTTATCCAGACAGTGAAAGATTTTGCCCGCAGATTCCCGTAGTTGCTTAGAGGGAAATATTTCGAGGTCTGGGCGCCCAAGGAAATCAGATGAGGATTATCCAGATCTTGCAACGACCGTCGTCGTTTGAATGTTGATCAACGCACAGTGGAGTCACCGTCTCTCCTTGAAGCGCCTGTGAGCAAGAAGACAAGACCACTGATGGTCTCCGTAGGGATGAACAGGCGGTCGCTGTGAAGAATATGGAAATGATGGCATCTATGAGGGTATTCGGAAACCTGAAGTCTGGTGGTGCCAGGCCGGTCACTCTTCACCGCACTCTCTGACGAGACCCTAACACCTCATGGAACGGAAGCCTGCTGAAAGTATGTAAAAGTGGATGAAGCCGCGTAAACCGGGACACCAAGAATGCTCTTCATCCATGTTGCTAATATCTTGAATAAGTACCGAAAGAAAATGTACCCGGAGCTGCTTCGTGGCATTAAAACACTCCCAAACAGCAAAGCGGAAATGGAAGGTCAGAATTATGGTAAGCGTAAATGCCGGTACCATGCATCGAGACACATCCTTTTTCTGAAGAGCGACATTGCGAGGGGTGAAACATTTCATAGTAGAGTGGCCACCTCCACCTCATTGTGAGATGTCAAATCGACGATGGCTACGCCCAGGTTCTAGGCGGTCAAATTATGAAGACGACGGAACCCGTCTAACTTTTCTTGAGATGTGATGAGGTTTCAGGCCTTCAGGCCTTTTGTCTGCAAGTTGTCCTTTGTATCCTGGTAACAACCAAGGACAGAAGTTGGAAAGTTTGAAGGATATATGGCAGCAAACATAGATTATTGATGATGTCTTCGTCGCAGGAAAGACTGGAGCAAGCGCAGGCATCGCAAAGTCCGTCTGAGACGGAGAGCCACAGGTGGCCATTTACAGCACGCGTTGTTCAGCGACTGTTCGGAACAACACCATCTGAATGAAAGACTCGCGACCACCGCATTCGACACCAAACTGCGGAAACGTCATTCGCGAAGAAAAATATGAGGAATAGGTGCTGTATACCCTAGGCCTGTATCGCTTTGAAGTCCGCAGGACGGAAATTTTCGTAATGCTTGTAATATTTCAAGCATTCTGTAATGAAATGAGTCGAAAATATGGCCTGGCCTCGAAAATATTGAATAGGTTTCATGTCACCGGGGTCATGCATCACTGGAAGAGGAAAGCGATGCGGCAACACAGAAAACTCCACTAGGTCATGAAAATCAACTGGAGAAATGAAAAAAATGACGCCGAACCCTTAGAGGAATAAAACGGTCAGACTTCAGGAGGTAAGTATTTAGGAAGGAGAACACTCTTGATAAGATAGATTATCTTACATAAAAATTGATTAGATCAGATACGAAGCCGTGAATCTACAAGCAGCGTCCGCTGGAAATGTTCCAGACGTCCACCACTGGGTGGGTGGTCATCATGACCTTTACAAGAACATATTGTGAACAAGCAACGGGACAAACGATTGACCCACACACCTCGACAAAAGTAGCACGCTCGTTATTCCAAGGTACTTAAGAAATCCATAAATTTAATGCCGTAGGGATGAGAGAACAAAATGTGAGTATCAGGTCATGAGGCACGTAATCGAGGATCCGAAAATTCTGGCGGGTCCACCTCCATCGGACTCTTACCATCATCGTCACCATCTCCAGGAACCATAATACTGGGTCCGTCATCATCATCGCTCCCATAATCTGCAACATCCATCGCATCCTCCATCGTCATCGGTATGTCCACGAAGTCGCCCCCTCCCGTTGAATTAGGTGTATCAGCTGACCGAGAAGGAGTTGCTTCTATAATAGCATTTGTCCGTTTCCGCTTCTCTGACTTCCTTAAAATCTTTGCAATGTACTCCTTGGCGAATTTCTTCATCTTCGCAACCTTCTCATCCGAGAGAGCATCCAATTTCCCATCCCGGTAGCTGTGTGACCTCTTCTCTTTCTCAGCAATGATATGTGTAAGCTGCATGCAGTTGCGGTAAGTAAAAATAAGGTATAGAAAGGAAGATAGAAGCACCGACCTCCTTCGCATACTTCTTAAACACATCATGCTCCATCGATCTGGCATACTTCGACATGCATTTCACGACTACAGCACCAACGAGCTTCAATAACCTCTTCTCCTTGTTAGCCTCTTTCTGCTCGGACGTCTCCAATTTTTTCTGTGGGCTATGGTGTGAGCTGTGATGCTGCTTCTTCTTTGCTGCTCGTGCCTCCTTCGCCGCTGCCGCCGCCTTGACTTTCTCTTCCGCCTCTGCGGCAGCCCGTGCAGCCTCCTCTGAGGCTACCCGTTGTGCCTCAGCAGCAGCAGTAATAATCGCATCGACTTTCTCTTTCTTGTACACTTCCTCTATCTTTTCCATTACCCGCTGACGCTCTATTATGTCAGGAGACATTGGTCGGGTAAGGGCATTTGGATCTTCCCGCGGGTAGTTACCTCGCCAAGCAGGCGGTGAAATGTCGAAGAAGACTTCAGCGGGAATTCGCTCGATTCGCTTGCGTTTCGGGGGAGGCCTGTTGTGTTTGTAGGACGATTCGTTATCAGATAGATAAACAGGAGCCCGGGGCGCCGGACGGTCCTTCTCGATATCCTGTTTGTAATGTCAAGCACTGCAGACATGCTGGGCAATGTATACACCACGAACCGCTTTTGCACGTTTGGGTATCCGATAACCCAATTTTAACGTATCCCAGTGTGCTATGAGCTAGATGAGACCGTGAATTGTGTATCGTCCAACGATCATGGACCGATCCATACCTTTGACGCTAACTCCTTAACAGCCTCGTTCTCTGATTGGACACAAGATTTGACAGGTACATTGACCTGAGAGTCCTCCACCTTGTTGCGAAACACTAACGGCCATGTTGACATACACTCCAAAGTCTAAGAGAGGGGGCGCTGAGTTGGAGTTGACATCAGGGAACGCGCAGAACGTTCGTACCAAACAAATCAGATCTGTCTCTTCCGAGTAGTCTTCCAGGATATTCTTCATAAGACTAAAACCACGGAGACGCATAATTTGCCTCAGCGCAGTTTGGTCTTCGGTAATCTAGCGCCCATCAACACTACGTCCATCAAAGGACGATAAAGAAACAGGGAAACTGACCTTCATACGTGTGAGAAGTTTATATAAAACCTTTCGACTCGTCGTCTGCCGTATAGCCTGGACCACCTTCGGTACGTCCTTCAACGTGATAGATTTCATTTGCGGCTAAAAACGTGATCTCGCATCAGACGCCCGTCCGGCATGGAAAGTGAACATACCAGGAAATCAGGATCATCAAGTTTCTTGCCCTTTCTCTTTTTGGTGCCCTTATACTCCATAAGCTCGGATTCGTCGGTTATACCAAGAGCTGAAGTGCAAGTGAGCTATTGTAAAATCACAAGGACTGACTGATCTCACCGTCAAGATATAGGTCATCCATAGCCGACACGTCTGTCTGAGTTTTTCCTCCGATGTATCCAACGCATTGCGGCTCTCCGCAATAGCAAGTCTGTGCTTGATGCCTACAAGCAAATAAGACTAGCGTAGATCATAAGGAGAATATTGCTTACCCGTAACGATCGACATTGTAATTAAACGTCAGCTCCTCGTTTTTCTTGATATAACGCTTCGCAAAAATACCCATGCGTACGGAGTTGCCAATAGTCCATTTGGCGACGTAGCAGTTTGGATTGCAACTATGATTGGCGAACCGCCCAATACCACCGTTTTTGGTGGCGTCAATGAACTATGGATAGGATGTGAAGTGCCAAGAATGACATGATAGCTGGCCTGCTCACCTCATCCTTCTGCAGCATCATGAAATAGAAATGCTCAATCCCCTCCGACGCATAATCTCTCATACGTTTCTTAAACGACTGATTGTTGACGACATCGCCGATGTACTCATAGATAAACGTGTCCCTATCGTCTCTATTGAACACTTATTCAACCGAAACGAGGCAGAGAACGTACTTTGGCAGATCCTCCTCAGCCCTAAGCCCGTAGCCTTTCATCTCCGTCTTTACTATCTCAATCGACGCATATTCTTTGTTTTGAAAGCTGTAAAACGAGGAGATGAGACTTTTGGTTCTGGACCCCGGAACGGGCACCCACCGTTGGTTCTGGCAGTACGATTGACATCGACAATCGTCCAGGAGACATTCGACTTGCGTAAGACGATTGATGCAATCGGAGCCCTGCCCACAGGCATCCTCTGGGCTGTCCTCGCCTGCATGCGACAGGTGAGGGGTGAATCCAGGGCAAAACTACACTACGAGGAAAACTAACCAGGCTCATAGGTACAATCACAAATCATGCTCTCCAAAAGCTCCCTAGAGCGTCCCAGGGACTTGTATTGATACCAATTGTCAGCCATCTCTGTAAACGAACTCAGTGCCTCGGTGCGAGCGACAGGCAAATGCCCAATCAATTGGGGCGCTGAAGGCAGTGGCTTTTTGGACTTGGGAGTCAGTGACGGCGGAGGCGTCGACATCTTGGACGAGGTAGCACTGTCCGGTGGTGGCGTGGCAGAGGTGGACGCCGACATGGGTGGTGCAGAGTCGGTCATGGTGGGTGACATTGAGTGTGATGATGATGACTCGTCACCCGCGAGCTCAACAACGCCGTCTGGCGGTGACGACGGCGTCGAATGTCTATGCTCTGTCCGCCGTTCCTCCTTTCTGGCGCTCATTGTCGGGCGTACAGCCTAGTGCTTGCTGCCTGATATTGACCACGAAATGACTGTCTTTTCCAGGGGGGTCCTGTCGGTTTCAGCGTCAAGGACACCCTTAGCGGCGAAATAAGACTTGAAGCAATGCTTTCAGCGTCGAACGAAAGAGAAAAAGGCAAGAGCAAAGTCGACTCAATACAAGGCGGCGGTGTGATGGTCGTCCCGAATGACGGCAGCGCCAACGGTTTTGGCTTAAATAGAGCAATAAAGGAGATAGCGAGAGCAAGAAATTATTGGAAAGTGATGGACATGATACAAGTACAAGGAAGAGATGACGAGCAAACGACCGTGGTCACGGTCGTGCAATGACAGACGGTGCCCAGCCACTGGTTCTTTCTTTCTTACCACATGGGTTATGGAATCGTCTTGCCCAACATATTGGCATTGGCAAGGAGCGCATTCAGGCGCATATAAGAAGTCCCTCGACCGTCATGATGGATATTTTACGGATTCCGTCTTCGGTCGACACCATCATCGTGGATGGCGAATTTCGGCTTTAAATTTTAGTGATGTACTGCGCAAGTCGGGGCATTTCGATGGAACAGAATAATGTGTACTTGCCGTTGAGAGACATCGCAGAAAAGGGCAATTGAGTGCGCAACACGTTTAGTGCCCTTGATGAGGACTGACGTTGTTCGAGCAGAACATCACGAGCGGTATGATGGTTTCTACATAGGCTGCAGCTGGATGTCCTCGTCGTCCAGCAAACGAACGGGCTCAAGGATGCCTCGGATGGTGTAACCGGTCACTAAATAATAATTGGAGACGGTAAGTGCGATCCCAAATTTGGTCATGACCTTTCTTTCTTTTACGCTCATGTTGACTTTATGTCTCGCAGGCCTGGCATGCCTTTCTCTACCCTTTGTCCTTTCTTCCGTTTATTTCAGGCCAAAAACTGTAGCCTCTAATGCTGCAAAGTTTGGACATGTCCTCAAGAACCATGTGACCCATGCGCGTTTCCTTCCTACGCCTTCCAAACACGCCTTCAGCTACCCTACTGTGTCGCTCTTGGTATCTCTGAAGGCCTTAGAGTCTGGAAAGCTTGACCTAGGTTATGGTTTGATATTTCGCTATGGTGGACTGTGGGGAAGACTCACTGGACTGAGGGCGGATCCATATCTGTCACCCCAAAGAGGGGCCGAGTCGATACTCGACAAATTGAACGCTTTTCTGGCCGCGCACGAGTATGGCGAGAATATGCTCGACGACGCCTGGATGATGACGATGCCCAGTTACCTGGGATTTGAAGGCATCAACCCTCTGACCGTGTATTTTTGCTACAAAGCTGGGGTCTTATGGCTGACTGTGCTTGAAGTGGGTGCTACGCTCAATAACCTGAACGACTGAACCTTCCACTTACGTTTTTACACGCAGATTCATAATACGTTCGGTGAAAGCCATGTTCATGTCCTAGAAGTGGGAAAAAGAGAGGATCCTTGCAGTACTGGGTCTGTTCTTCTTGTCATCCCGAAAATTATGCGGTTAATGACCATGACAAAACAGATTTGATCATCAATGGACCTTTCCACGGGACTTCCATGTGTCTCCATTCAACGACCGGTCCGGGTTTTATACAATACACTTACGAAAACCTAGCCATCCTCCAGGTGAAGACTACACCCCGTACGCACCTCCTTTACCCGTCGTTCGCGTCGATCTGTATACAGAAAATTCATCACGTCAAGCTGTACCAGGGCAGCTCAAACTGTCTGCAACGCTTCGAACTGATTCTGCCGAACCGCTGGAAACGCGTTTCCTTCTTCTTACCCTCCTTGCTGCGCCTTTTGATCTCTTCCTCTCATTCCCGCGGATTGCTTACCACGCATGGATACTGCATTATTTAAAGCGTCTAGATGTGTTTATCAAGCCCGATCCAAGACCTGTTAACTCAGAACGGAAATCAGTGCCGGGTGGCGGGATAAAATGGCTTGGGGAAGGCATCTTCGAAGCCTACGCACGAAGACGGCTTGAGGTTTATCTCAAACGGAGGGTCGGAGAGACGGGCGTGGTAGTTCGATTGGTGCCAAATGATCTGGGGGCGCCGAGTTCGGTTTTCCATCCCGGGAAACGGGATGACGATCACCAGGAATTAACTATTCACTATCTTTCAGGAAAATTCTTTACCGTTATATTCATGGCACCTTCTGCTGCTCATGCATATCTCTTGGGAGTCCGCTCCGAAGGCATCTTTACTGTGTCTTCAGAGGCGCTTTTTGTCTCTGTTTTCGAGCCGCAGTACAAGGCAGGACATCTTAGTAGGAGACAGTGTATGCGGCGTAAGGCCGTACCTTCTTCGCTTCCGTTACCTATTCCGCAGAGACATATCTTGGATGATGATGCTCTTGGGGTAATGATGCTATTGGCTTTGTGGTGTATGGACAAGCTTGAAATAGTTTTGTTTCGCTCGCTTCACGCAAGAATCCTGCCGGGGGTTGAACCGTGGTATTGGAATCAGTGGGAGAGAGCCTTAGCTGTGTGGGAGAGCGGTGTGAAGCGTTCTGTAGATCATGGGGGTATTGGAAGTGTTCGAAGGGATTCTTAGATTTGGACCTAGCTATACGTTAGTCTCTATGTATAAGTACATACCGGATATGTACCTTTATTGTTCTCATATACGAGAACGTTCATTTCATTCGAGCTGAAATACCTAGAACGAAAGATGTTCCGTTTCTGAGTCTTCGTTCTGTTATTCGTTGTACCCTTCCTCCCGGATTTGCCCTCTGTATACATGAGCAACTCTTGAACAGAGACCGATATACGATGCTGGAGCTACTCTCTTGTACCCCATTTGTTCGGCCCTTCACCCTAATTCTCCGAATCCGAAGTACAAGGGGTTAGTCGTCGTCTCCCGAATGCAGAATAACAAATGGATGCCTCATGCAGGATCTACTGGAGGCTCGGTTTCCATGTATGTGACCTGCAATGACAATGACGCTTTCGAAGACCACTGCTATCAGCAACTTCTTAGGTACAGCAGATCCCCACCAACGTTTCATAATAATGGTCTGCAACCTCCCATCCGCCCTCATCCGCTCTACGAGCCGCCCCCCCAGCTTAGACACGATCCCTATACGTTCATGCCTGGTGAAAGTACCAGGACGACCCTTTTCTCTATGTAGGAGGTTCCTTAGTACAATGTGTACAGTACTTACAGGTGGTGCATTACAAGGTGATAAGAACAGATATATGTCAAATATAGATCATGACAGAAAATCAATGGGATCTCGTTCGCCGTCTTCGACGAGAGGTACGGGATCATGCAGCCGCGCCACGACACTTTTTCGAGGACCCTGGAAACGCGTAAGGGAGAGAGGAATTGCTAATGGACGAAATTGTACCTTTTTGACCGTCGGTCTCTTAGGTGCCCTTTGTACGTTCTTCTTGAGCTTGGGTGTGCTGGATTTTATCCCACCATGGAGATGAGCCCTTTGAAAGCATCCGATTTTTAATCACATACCGTTTATTGGGAGCTACCTTGACATTTTCTCCATCGTCTTGAACTACCAGAGATTTTGAAGTCTTGCTCCGTTTTATCACTTTCTCGACGACGTTGACTTCGTCTAAAACCTCTTTTACCTTGCGTTTCTTCGTCGCTACCTTTTTTTCTGGTAGCTCCTCAACTCTCGGCTTCTTCCCAACGTCTCCACCTACTTCCCCGTCCTCGTCTGCACGCGGCCGCTTCGCCTTAGGTGGTGGTTTCTCCGCACGAGCCTGGTCATCACTCTTCAACTTCAATGACGACGTTGTCAAAACAGGTTGGGCTTCATTGTCGCCCTTCGCCTTCCGGACTTTCGTCGAAGCTTTGGCTGGCTTACGAGCGGAGACTTCTACGTCTCCCACAGCTCTAGCCTTGGCCTTTGACTTTGAAGAGCTGTCACCGAGTTTGGCAGCTTGGGATGTCTCAGGTTTGCCTAGCTGTTCAGCGGGAGCATCTATCGACCCTTGGTCGACGTTCTTCACGGTTTTGGATTTGCCTCCTAACTTTGAAGACGCTGCGACGCTGCCCGAATTTTCCGCTGACAGAACGGCGGATGTTTTTATAGCAACTTCCAGCTCCTCTACTGCCTTAGGTTTGACCTTGACCTTAGCCTTCAATTTTGAGGATCCCGCCCTGGAACCCTTTAGTGGCATGTCAACAGCAGCGTCCTCATCGGCATCCACGTACTTCACCTTCGACGCTGTTCGCGCCTTGGAAGGCGTCCGTGCTTTATATGAAGAAGTAGACAGGGCTACGGGCACTCAGCGGCACTCTGGGTTGACAAGATAGGCCCTCACCCTTCGACTTTCCCTTGAATACAACCACACCGGCATCTGCGTCTGCGTCCTCTTCCTCATCAGCCTCTTGAATGGGCGTCATGGGAGGCGGTCTGGTTGTATGCGGTTTCCTGGACACGGCCTTCGAAAGCGGTACGTCCTCGCTGTCATTATCTGGTGGGGGCGCGGCAGTGGATGTATGACTCCTAGGCGTCTTTGCATTCGGCTTTGCAGGTGGAGGTTCTATGCGGCACATTTCAGCCTAGTAATTTGTCAAATATTAAAGTGAGAGCGCACCATCAACGGAAGCCTTGGCTGGTCGTCCTCGACGTTTAGCCCGAGTCTCGGTTTTCGGTTTCGGTTTGGCCTTCGTCTTTGATTTGCCTTTGACAGTCGACGGACCTGTTTAATGCTGGTATCAACACCTCCAAGCAAAAGGCAGGGAACGTACCTGTAACCGATTCGTCCTCGGCCTGCTTCTTTGCCTTCTTCCCTTTCACCACTTTGCTCGTCTTCACCGGGGAAAGACTCCTTGACCTCGACCGTCTCTGTTGCAGTGTCCGATGTGCGAGCAAGAGACTCACAAGCTTGTTTTCACCCGTTGGCTGAAAAATCCTGTAAAATATTTCAGCGGCCGTGAGGGTGGAATAGCAAGCAACTCGCCCACCACGGTCGCGAAAACGCGATTTGAGGCGCTGAATACGATTATCACGACTCTCCTCGACGCTTGCAGGGGTCGGCGTGGCTGCCACCTTGGCCCTCACCACGTCCATGGTCGTGCACAAACACGATCACGTTCAATTACGTCATTCATCCTTTTTTGTTTTCCGGAGCTCGGTCCGCATCTTGTTATCAGATCATCTTTTCGACCACCACGTCCCCTTTCTTACAAATTTTCTGCGATGCCAGTTAACACGACGGACCTAGAAAATGCCATCCGAAATGCTATACCAGTGACATTTCTGGATATCGAGGACCAGTCGAGTGGGTGTGGGGAGAATTACGCTATCATCCTTGTCAGTGAGGTCCGTATTATCAATCGCTTTGTCCCTTTGCAATATATCCATGCGTTCAATCCCACAGGCATTTGAGGGAAAGTCGACGTTGGGGAGGCATAGGTGGGGTGAGTTTTCCCAGCCCTATCACAACGCTCGCAGGGCATTAATCTGGGCGTAGTCAATGAACTGTTGAAGAACGAGATATCGCAGATGCATGCGTTTTCCCAGGTGAAGATTGCCGCATCATTACTGGACCCTCTAATCCCATTTGTTAGAAAACGTTCACCCCCAAGCAATACGAGATTTATCTTGCCAAGCAGGGGTGACAGATGGCAATGACACAACCGTTTGATATTCACATATTGTACTATATAACCAATGATATGCTCCGCAATTCTATATGCAAGATATTGTATTGTCTAAGAGCACGTTTTGTGTACGGATGTATTTATACCCGTTTCTATTGTTGATTCTAATTTCATGAAATTTCCGATAGCTAGCATCAGGTACTCAGAAGGTTGTTTCGAGTACGACACAACCAGTGTTATTGGGCGTTAGCGAAATTGACGGTCCTGTCATTCGACGGACCCGCCTCGGTCACTGGTAAGCGTTCGGCCACCTCAGGATACTAGGCACCGTTCAGTTTTAACGAAGCACCACACTGACGCACTCACCAGAATTTTATTAATAGGTTCGACTAACACCGTCGAAGCATCCGTGTTCATCGAAAGCGTGCGCGACAAGGTTCTGCCGAAGGAGAAGAACGGAATTGACAAACCATCTGCAAAAAAAAGAACGTTCAATTCCATCGGGAGAAATAAGAGATAAATTCGTACGTATGATGATGGACCCCAAGACGACGAACGACACGATTGGTTGCAAGGTCGCAGCAAGGAGTTCCTGCTGACTCTCTGGTGGATAATGCGGCTTCGGGAGTTCAGTCAGGGCCAAGGTCGATATAAACACCGCGCCCACACCCATCTAGTTGCGTAAGACGGTCAATACACTGTTCCATTTTTGCAAGGCCAAGGAACTCACCGGACCTAAAGACGATCAGCAAATGCAAGCGACAGGTAATATACACACATACCAAAGTGCCCTGAAAACAGTGCCTCGCGCCACGTCCTTATTTCGGGAATCCATTTATACAGAAGTAGCACTGAAGGGATGCGGCGGAGCGCCAGGATAGCTATGAAAAGGACGACCAATCGCCAAGGGGTGATACCCAACTCCGGACTGTTGAAAGTGGAGAAAGGGAGCCAGGCGCCTATATACACAAAGCACGCGCAATTTAGTACTAGATCAATTACCGATGAAAAGATCTCGTCTTCAGTTTGAGTATTGAAGTGGCCATCCCACGATATGGCGTTGCCTGCGTGAAGGGGGATGTCAGCTGTATGAAGGTACAAGAAGGAAGAGAGCGAGACCGGCAGCAAAGGCAGCGAGTAAATCGTCACTTCCGATGGTACTGGCGATGCCGATGGTGAAGAATGCCATTGCAAGGTATTGTGCGACGTAGGACTGACGGTCAATGAAACCCTTACGGAGGGAGATTCTCATTAGCCAGGCAAATGTGCGGCCGAGAATGGCCCCCAAGACGACGCCGAGGACGACTTCATCTGTGATGAAGGATTGAGTACGGCAGGAGAGGTGAAAGTATGGATACGCACATAACCAACCCACAACGAACCACTTGCCGATGGCGACTCGGCGAGAGGATTCGACGGTCAGGTATATAGACACTGATAGAAACGGGTAGGCTGATAGAAACGAGTCAATTTGTACGATATAATACCAGTTTCGTATGACCTACCAAGTCCGTCATTTGCTGCAGACTCCGCCGACAAGATTTGACGGAGGTTAAGAGGCACGTGTTTTACGGCAAACTTACCACCTGCCAAGGATGAAAAAGTCCCTATCCTTACATATAATAGCACGTACCAACTATGGCAGCACATATGATAGGGTCCGTGGGAGTGAGGCACGCAGCGATAACGAGACAAGAGATAAAATTGAGGTCGGCGAACAGGGCTCGGAGGAGTCCTGCAAAAGCAAGGGTCAGCTACATGGAAACAGAAAGAGGCGAGATATGGGTTCCGTTGTTTCTGGACTTTGAACAGATCCATGTCATAAAGGTTATAATGAATGTACGAACCGGCGACTATTCCCCATCCAATAGCCATGGTTGGCACCACCATAACGAAAAGTCCTTTGAAGTGCTGAACCATGTACGGTCCAGGAAGCTCTACTCCGATGGCAAAGAGGCCAGTAGCGAGAACGATGCGCATGACTTCGAGCGTAACTGTTTGCGTCGTGTCGCCCCACGAGCGGGGGTCGAAGATGCCTGCAACATGTGGACCCATGATAACACCCACGGCTGTACCCAAAACCACCTCGTTGATGAATAGCTACGAAGGGCTGCGTCAGATTAACGAATACAGTAAAACGAATACTACTGACCTTTTCTTTTACCAGGAGAGAAACCATCGAGAACTAGATATCTGAGTCAGTGCTAAATATAAATAGCCGAGGAGAAAACTTACAGCAACGACGAAGCCGCCTAGCACGATATATGCGAGTCCCGGGTCGGAGATCTAGAAGAAAATTTGTAGTTCATTGTTACACAGAAATGATGCAGCACACAGACATTTAGCAGCTCTGATCCTACGATAAATCCCATGGTCCAGGAGGTCTAGCAAGTTAGCAGCAGAATATTGAGAGGAGGGGGTACCGATTCCACAAAATTGATTCCGAAGAAGCTCCTGCGCTGAGTTGAAATAATCATAAAACGGAGAAACCCAGTTTTATGAACGAAGTCAAGGAAAGGCAATCTCTCCAAACCCTCACTGTCCCTTGGGTATCCGACAGTAGCCGGAATGCGGCCCGAGTTTTGGACCTGCGCCACCACCATGTCGCATCCATTTCGTTCGTTTACCCCGGCTCAGCTGCGTGCCCTGCCGCGCCAGGCCCACTTTTCTCCCCCTCAACAGGTACTTCTATCTACCGTGACGACATTTGCGGCTCAAGTTTTGTCCCGTTCACCACCTAGTATCACCCTACCGGAACTACAAACGATTATGGACTACAAGCTCGCTTTTGGCCAGAATCGACCCACGTTGCGTGCGATGATCAGGAAGAACATGGATTCCCAGGTCAAGGATTGCAGTAGGCGCGCCTTTGTTCTACCAGAACTGCAGTCGGGTCACTGGGACCGCGTCAAGGAAGGCATGGATATCCTGTGCGAGCTCAAAGGTGTGGGCCCGGCAACCGCGTCCTTGATCCTCAGTCTCGTATACCCTGAGCATATACCTTTCTTCTCCGATGAGGCGACCGTCGACGTTCTTTCGCCTGCGGGAGGACGGAAAGGGATCAAATACACGATGAAGACCTACAAGGAGCTATTCGACGCCCTTGGTAGCATCGCTGGCAGTATCAACAGCAACGAGGAGCAGGGTGCCGCGCTGGAGGTTACAGTTGGCAGAGGGGCTGTCGAGAGAGCGATATGGAACACGGTCAGACTTCAAGGGAACGGCGAGGGTCCGTCGAAAGAGAAGGCGAAGAGGCCGCGAACAGACGACGATGTGGCGGTCACAAAGAAGAGGAAACGGATCAGGTCTTGATGTGCGTTGTGTGCTTCGTGTATATCATGATTCTGATCTTACTGTAGGTAAGGGATATCGATAGACCAAGGAGATCATGTTGATCCTATTTCCAGCAGTAATTTCTATGTACCCATTTGTGCGCAATTCATGCTAACATTGTATCTTTCATAACAAAAGCCTTTTATATAAAGGAAAGCCAAATACCTGTAACAGGGATTGAATGGGTCCCAGAGTTCTAGGCATTTCTGTGATAACAGTACGATAATTCAAAGAGTCCCAAGTTGGACACGAAATCGCGGATCCGCCCGGTGAATTTTTAGATGCCGGTCCTTACCTCTTTGCAGAGCAATACGGTGTCGCTTGTCAACAACTATGATACCTGGATGTTCGATTGCGATGGTGGGTCATGGCACGATGATCAACTAACCGACGGCGCTTTCGATGTTTTATGCCTCCTACGACATCAAAGTACTTAACCCAGTCGCGTCTTCTCAGTACCTCCAAGTCTGACAGTACAATAGAGAAGACCATCGTGTTTGTCACCAACAATGCCATGAAGTCGAGAAGACACTACAAGGCAAAGTTTGACAAGCTCGGGATAGAGGCTTATATGGTGAGTAGCGATTTGTCATGAATCGATTGCGTTTTCAACATTTATTAAACGGACATACAGGACGAAATCTACGGATCCGCCTACGCGTCCACAGTGTACCTGTCATCTGTCATCAAGTTTTCGAAAGAGAAGAAAGTGTACGTGATAAGAATGTCGGGATTGGAGGAAGAACTCAAGGACGAAGGCATTCAATATCTCGGTGGAACGGTAGGATCTATTTCATGCCTCTTTCAATGTCTAAATTTTCGACAGGATTCCTCTGATTGCACTTTAGCACCGTTCTTTCTTGCCGATTTCGTTCTAGACGAAGACGTCGCCGCGGTACTGTGCGGTTATGATAGTAACATCACCTACACCAAACTGTCGAAGGCATTTCAATATCTCACTCGAAATCTGGGGTGTCAATTTCTTGTGACGAACGAGGACACCACCTATCCAAACGCTTATGGTGTATTGCCTGGAGGAGGAGCTTTAAGTGCACCGCTACGGTATGCTCTGGGAAAAGATCCTTTATGCATCGGAAAGCCATCAACTATCATGCTCGACTGCATCAGAGTGAAGTCTTCGCGTGTTTATTTACCTAATCTTTGATTGTATTCAAGGCCCATAGAGATCTGAGAGAACCCTCACAATCATAGCGTCACCAGTTACCATCGATCCTATTAGAAACCCCGTTTTCATGACCTCCGTGACTGATAACAGCAGTAAGACTGCGCCAATAAATGTGGGCTATCGTATAACTGCAAAACGGGATATGCGAGCGGCTCTTGAGGAGACAGAAGTTTCCGCTATCGACCTTACATCGAGGACAAGAAATACTCTGTATAAAAGACTTTCTATGGCCACAGTTGCAAGATTAACAGATACCAGAGAAAGATCCATATCTTGATATGGCGAACAAAGCAGCGTCCAAAGGTAAGTTGGCAACTCGTTCCATGGCTCATTCTCATCTTCGGAAGAACGACTTTTTCTGACACAAACTCTGCGGTTTGCCTTAGCTGTGACCGGAGTCACCTTCTAAGCGCTTAGCGCTCACCATGATGAGCGTTCACGGTACATAAACACCAAGATAGATGCACAGTACGACCATATGCGAAATGTCCTTTTCTACCCACAAAACGATCCCTCCCCCTCCTCACGAGCAAGGGGTAGAAAGTGCCACATTCCGACAGCCTCCCATAGATGGATCGTTTACGCTCCAACAGATGTACGATTGGCATCTCCAGCACTCTCCTAATCACCACATTTTTGTGTATCCACGCGAAGACGGCGGCGTAAGGACCATATATTAGCCCGAGGCAGTCGCTGCCATATACACTGGTGCTCGGTTGATGAAAAGTCTTGTACCGTTCAATTCTGACAAGACCCCCATCATCGCCTTGTTGACGATGTCAGGTGCGAGATTTCAAGGCTTGGAAAATAATCAGCATACTTACACATCCCGTCAGATACTATCACCTATTTTACAATGATGAGCATTTTACGTGCCAACTACGTGTTCTTCCCATCTCCCCGCGGAACTCGGCGTTTGCCGTCGCACACCTTTCGCACAAGGTGGGCGTACAGCACGTCCTTGTCGGTAGAGACGCTGCTATGCAAACTCTTGCCCACGACGCAATTGAGCTCTTGAGATCTCGATATCTATCGGCTGAGCTGCCACAGACATCTACGGCTCAGGCTTTTGATGACCTCTTTTTGCCCGAATGGCAGAAGAACACGAGTGCTGGGGGCCTTCCTCTTAGGAGTGAAGATCCCCACGCCATCGTCATGTACCTGCACTCATCTGGTGACTACTTTTTCCCCCTCTTGTCAATAAATCCTACTCATACTACGGCTGCAGGATCGACAGCATACCCGAAACCAGTGCCTTGGAGCGGTCACCGTCTGGTTCAAATAAGTCTTATACCTTGGTTCGGGGAAAGAGACTTGTGCGACGTCCTTTTCGCCGTACATGTGATGCCCATGTACCATGGACTTGTCATTACACGGCTTTGTTGGACGGTAATTGCTTTAATTTGCCATTAGACACTTCTCATCATCATATGCAGGCATCGTCGGGGTTAGTTGTAGGAGCATTCGAACCCAAATTCCCTGCCACACTTCCAACACCAGATAAACTGTTTGCTTCGGCCAAAGCGGTCAGCAGCGATTTGATATTTTGTGTTCTATCGTTTGTCGAGGTCTGTCATGGGACCAAATACTCATTATCTGGTATAAATAGCCTTTCCTCAGGCATGGTCCCACTGTCTGGAGTATATTGAATGGCTGGCCACGCGTTTGTGGAGTGGTGCGTTCATCACACATTCAACGAGATCATGGAATAACTTGTCCTAGCTCTATAGCGGTGGCCCATTGAATAAGGTCATTGGAGATGACCTAAAATCTAAAGGCAGTGATATTTTCATTGTCTACGGATCGTAAGTGCAGGTTTCGAGAAGCTGAATCCATGTCTGACCCGATTAAATAAAGTACCGAATGTAGTATAATCAGTTCTATTTTACCTGGTGGGTGAGCTTGTAGTGGTTGATGCTCGTGTATTAATACCTACGTTCAAGCCAAATCTAGTTACGATTGGGACTACTTCGAATTTCCCGGGTTCATAGCACCAGAAATGATGCCAAATGGGAAGAACCTGTACGAGTTTGTAATGGTGGTATGCTACATCCTCTTTGGCCTAGTTGTCAATATCATTTCATCTTCGCATTACAGAAAAATGCCTTCTGCGTACCCAGTATCATCAACACAGATATCAATGGTGTTGATGCCTATGCTACGTCAGATCTCTTGATGCGGCACCCGACTAAGCCAGGATTATGGAAAATCCTTGGGCGCACCGACGACCAAATTGTTCATAACACAGGAGAGAAGGTAAGTTTGTCACTGGCAGCATACTTATTACAGATACTGAAACTCGGCCGTATTCTAGAGGAACCCCATACCATTGGGTAAGTGTTTCTGTCATTGCATTCACGAGATGTATGCAAACGCTGACGGCGTTTATGTATGTACAGAGAGCATGCTCAACCAAGATCCTCACGTGTCCGCCGCTGTCATGTTTGGCTGAGGGCAATTCCAGGGGGGAATTCTGTTGCGGGATGACACAAGTACCTGATGTCAACCTTATATAAGCATAGACAGTTTTGTCCTGAGTCGACGGTCAATTGCCTTTAAGCAATTGACCGTCATACTCAGTCTGGCCTATTATCCACTGCATAAAAGTAACCTGCCTGCAACAGGTTATGGGCCCCATGCTTTAAGGCCTATTTTGAGTTTTTTTCTTTGCATCTTGCTTGTGCCCTGCTATCTCTCCATCAGTCATTTCACTACTGAAACGATATCACCACATACATCATGCCATCCTTCGACACAATCAAAAAAGGCTTCGACAATCTAAATGCCTCCAACTATGGTGAGTGGGAAGAAAACATGTCGGCCCTACTCAAAACTCGCTGCGAGTACCTTATCACCATTGGCTGTGACCCTGAACCGGAGTTTGCAGACCCTGAGAAGCCAACATATCAGGAGAGGAAGGACTGGAAGGACTGGAAGGAGACTCAGGTATCGGCTGCTGGCACAATCTACCTCTGCCTTGATGAATCCCAGAAGGCTCATGTCAAGAGCTGTCTTGACGATCCAGAGAGGATGTGGGACATATTAAAGGCACACCATCAGCAAAGAAAACTGGCGACTTGATTTGTAGCCTACGACAGCTTCTTCAATCTCAAGAAGGAGACAGAAGAATCACTTCCAGACCTTGCCAGTCAGGGCACTCAAATCATGAGTCATATCCATGCTCTGCATCCTGCTCATTTTGGCCTCCAGTAGTTAGAAAAAGAGCTTCTTGTTATGGCCCTGATTTGCACACTCCTTCAGCCCAAATTTAGAAACTTCATCACATCACTATTCCTTCTCTCTGATAAACTCACTCTCGAAGGACTCTGCACTGCATTTCACAATGAAGAAAACAATCAGAAGCTGCATGCTGGTGATCTAGCAGTCTCTGTTGCTCTCAAAGCCACACCTTTCCATTCACCCATGAATCGGGCTACCAATGCTGCTGCAAAATGTGGATGGTGCCTTCGCAAGAATCATGCAGAAGAAGAATGTATAACCAAGAAGCTCTCACTTAAATGGGACCATGAACATGCTGCTGATCATACTGCTGAGAAGAATCATCACAAGGGGGCTGGAAAGAAGGATTTGGAAGCCACTAACTCTGCCAAGACAAAGGAAGAGACTGCTAGCCAAGCAAGTACTGATTTATCATCACTTACTGTGTCTCATTGGAATACCAATACAGGTGCTTCTTGTCATATGACCCCTCACTGACAATGGTTCCGACTCTATGCTCCACATGTCATTCCCATTCATCTTGTAGACAACTCAGTCATTTATTCAGCAGAGATTGGGTTAGTAGTATTAGAGCCAGAGATTCAGGGGGAGAAAGGCTCAGCAGTGGAACTTCTTGACACATTACATGTACCAGCATTGAAAAGTAATCTCTTATCACTCTATCATCTTACATGGAAAAAGGGATTTAAGATCTTCATTGCTGGATCAGATGTCACTTTCAGCCAGGGTGAAAAGATCTGATTCACAGCAACTGTAAACAAGAGCAATATTGGCTATGTCAATGCTACCACACATTCATTCTCAAAATCAACCACTATCATTGCAAACTCAAGCTCTACAAGTATCTGCTAGATGGACAACACACTTTAGCATAGATGTTGCTGTCATCAAAACATGGACACTATATAGCATATGCATACAAAGCAGCTAGTAACTGGAATGAAGCAAGAGTCAGGCTCCCCAACTGATCCTATCTGCATACCATGTCTTGCTGGCAAACAGCATCACCACAATGTTCCTCATGGCCCCTCAGAGTGGAAGAAACACCTTTTTGAGTCAGTATACAGTGATATCAAAGGTCCAATGCCTGTTGCAACTCCAGAGGGCTATCACTACTGGATAACATTCATCTGCAGTGCATCTGACACTTGGGCTGTTGCACCTCTGGAGTATAAAAGTGATGCCTTTAATGCCTTCAAGCAGTTCAAAGCATATGCAGAGAATACCCACTCAGGACTCAAAATCATTGAGTTTCAGGAAGATAAAGATGGTGAATATTTGGGAAAGGAGTTTGTCAACTTCTGTGCTGAGCATGAGATCAAAAGGCAACATACTGAACCTGATGAACCATACCAGCATGGCACAGCAGAACAAGCCAACCACACAATTGCAGAGGCTATCACTGCTATGCTAAATGTGTCATATCTCTCATCATCATTTTGGAGCCTCACTCTCCAAGTATTCATTCATATCTGAAATCACATCTCCACAGATCCTCTTCCAAACACCACACCCTTTACAGAATGGGACTCAAATCACTGAAAACCAGATATATCCCACTTTCATGTGTTTGGATGCCTTGCATATGTGCTAGTATGAAAAAAGAGATGTTGAGCATTAGAGTCACACATCCAAAAATATATCTTTGTTGGATATCCAGAGGGAGTAAAAGGCTGGCTATTCTGAAACCCTTCTATATAGCAGTTCATCACCTCCAGCCATGCTATATTCAATGAGCATGTATTTTCTGAAAATCACAAAAATATTATAAATCCTCTTGGTGACAATATATCTCTCACAAACAGATATAACAGCACAGATACTGCTATACCTGATGCGATAATACCTCATCAAGGGGGAGAGAATATATCTACTGATAAGCCATCTCTGCTATCTGAGCAACTCCCATCATCATCATTCTCACCATCCTCGCCAGCTCTATTCACTCTATCAAATATGCAAACACCTCCAAGATCATCTTTTACTCCACTATCAAGTCTTCCAACATCTCCTACACTCTCTTCATCATTTTCACATTCTCAGACATGCTTCGAGCCACAATACAACTCTAAAGATTTTATAATTCTATCTCCAAACACTGGACATAGTTTTCACTGTAAACATTCTGGCACCAATGTGATAAACTCACCAGACTCAGATGAACCCATTGATGAAACCACTGCTGAGCTAGAGCTTACTGAGACAGATGTTGTCACAAGAATGACTTTTGTATTGCATGATGATGACTATATCATATATACAGAAGCTCTTGAGCTTGCATTTCAGACAGCAGTTGTTATGATTTTTCCTATTTTCTTCCTATTTTTCTTTTCTTTTTCTCGGAAATGACCCCTATCTTTGCTTAGTCAAAGCACTTAGGCCAGCGCTTATGACCATGGGAATGCTTAGCTCAGCAACCCAGTTGGTCATTCTCCTATTGCACTGCTGTATGCTGTGAAGAGAGAGACAATGCTCTCTTTGTCCTCAAATTGCAGTGCGCAACCACAGCTCTGCAGCAAGACAACAGCTTTTGTGGAGAGTCTGGCAATGGTAGGGAAAACAGCTCTACAGCAGACAATATCTTTTGTGAACAGTTATTTATAACACGATAACAGAATAGTATTTAAGTAGCTTAGTTCTCGCTGTAATACCTCAGTCTTGAACTAAAGTTTTACTTCACTATCTTATCTCGAGCTCCTGCTACTTGCAACGCCTTGACCTCACATCTCTATTAACACATCAGTGAACTCAGTCGGCCATACCCGAAGTGCGAGGTACCGAACTGTTTATCATGTGTTGATAGTCACGTGAAATTTGGGCTTAACAATTAGTTTGAGACTTTCTTATTCTCTTTCTCAAGCCCAATTGTGCTGAGAAACTGAATACCCCCTGCCCTTGATCCCTCCAATCCAAACTTTACCCATGAGTTCTTTGAACTCTTAGCCTCTATTATAGGAATCTTGATCGGTCTTCTGGTGATCATACAGCTGTACCATGGATGCCAATTGATCATAGCTTGAACAATCAGACACTATCACGAATTCCAACATATTCGAACCATCCTCTGCAATGTCACGCCAGACTTCCCCCTCCACAACATCCCTGCCTCTACCTGACAGTCTTTCCAACCTGCCAAAGGAACCGACCCAGAAAGTGTCCCTGAGAGCTCAGCTCAAAGGCATGCTAGGGAAGAAGAAGAGGAGCAGTATCAGCAGCACACATACCCTCTGCGACCCCTGACAGCAGTCGTCCGAAACTCTGACAACTCTTGGACTACAGGGTTTCAATGACCCAGACCCGACACCCCCATCCCATCCCTCCAGCACAGTATCGCAGCAACCAGGCCAGCAACTCCTGCCTCTAGCACTGGCCTTAGGTGTCGTGCTAGAGACTCCCTGGATACCCCATGGATGGCTCGAGGAACAAGTGGTTCCAGGGGCCACGGGTCCCGACATACTCCATCTACACGACACAGCAGCATTAACAGCAGAAGCAATGACTACTGGTATGACGACAGCAATAAGCGCCACTGGTGGCGAGCCGCTGCTGCCGAGGCCGACAGGATGGAGCACCGCCCAGCTGGCAGTAATACTAGCAGAACAGAAAGCATATGAGTGGTATCAAGCAGAATGTGATCAGCCAGCCCCATCGTCCCAGGTCCCTCGAGAGAGAACCCAATATGACATGTCTGAGACCTTTCCCAGTACCAGCAGAATCAGGCATGTATCGACAATGAGATTATAAGGGAGAACGCTCTCTTTGGAAGGTAGTAGGACCACAACCATTGTTGGAACCACCACACCTGACTCACCTTTCAGGAAACCTGCCACTCCTGCCAGTAAGTCCGATCCCTGAACCAATTACCACGAGGAAGAGACTCAGCCTCACCTCGACGACAACCACTCATTATCTTACAGGACCAATACCATTGCAGAGATGGAGAACATCCCAGTCTGAGGAGATAGAATTCCAGCTAAGAGAGGCACCATCGGGGGAGATGACGAGGGTATCAACCCTATCAGTGACCTCAAGAAGTTTCTCGATGGAGCCTTTGCAGCCCTTTTCCTTAACCTGAAGTTTTACAGAAACTTCTGCCAGTATCACAGAGCAATGGCGCTGAGAGCAACAACAAGCATTGAGGAGCCGCCAGAGCAGTCCGAGTGACAGCCTACTCCTCGCTCCGGACCCAGCGACGCTGGACCCAGCACGCAGCCCCAGTCCGATC